ATTCCGTACTTGGTAATGCAACCGAGGCTCCTTAAGCTAACTGTTTAGCCATGGGTGTGTCTCCCTTAACAATCAGTGGATAAACTAACATAATGAGCGCTTGCGACAGTCCGACCCGCACGTCTGAGATGCATGCGGTTGCCTGGACACCTTAGACCTGTGCTCACTTCACTAGCCCGATAAGAATCATACAGCGTTCTTCGCAGTACTAGCTAGGTTGTTTACATCAGGAACCAGGCTAGCGTGACCCCGCTGCGCGTATGTTCGAGCAGTACTCGCGTGTCTTGTAACAGGAAAAGTCCATATATCTAGTACCGTTAGGCGATTGCTAGGATAGGGACGTGACACGGCGAGTGGAGACGTCGATATACATTGTTGGTATTAAAATTTCGAATAGGTGCATTTGTGCACATTATACCAGCAAAAAATATATTTTGTTTAATACGTTAATAAAAAATATCAGATTAATGAAAAATATTTTTTAGAATTGACAGAAAAAGTACTTTATCAGAACTAGAGAAATCAACAAGGTTTAGGATGGTTCTTTTGTACAATAAATTTTAATAACTGATATCTAAACCTATTTGTGTAAGCACTTTTAGCACTTTTTGCTCCCTTACCTCCTTTGAAAACATTTTATTCAATTTAGTACTCATACTATTCAACATGACGGCATTTCGCGAACATTAACTACACAAAGACATACCTTAGTCTCAATAAAAAGGTCACAAACGCTCAGCTCCTGCCAATGTCGGACTCCACTATGACGACGACGAAGATTCGGTCAATGTATCGAATCGCAACACCGCGCATCCCTACGCCCTCGTCGTGTACCAGGAACCGCTAACGAATTCGTAGACCGTTTGAGTCATTATCCCAAGGACGTAACTCCGGCCGCGGCCTATCCAGGGCCCGCTTAGCATTCCCAACGCCTAGCGCGGACGCGCGGCGAATAAAACCTCATCCGAACCGGACATCAGCGGCCGAGGCGTCACTTAGTGTGGAACCAATCGACGCCACCGAATCTTTTATTTTTCCAAATACTAGATACAATGGTTATCTAAATATGGATAAATCTCTTTATGGTTGGACTGGACCGGGTACGCTTGTATACGATTATTTCTGACACTCTGCTAGTAAGACTTAGTGCTTACTTCTTCACAGTTCCACAATTCGCAGTGCAGATTTCGCTAGACGTGATGCTCGGTGAACCTAAATAAAAGCCTACTTATTCAAAAGCCCATAATAGGTAATACCATTCTACTCTACCGACCTGATGTTAAGTGATAACCGCCGCCCATGGACATTTGCGACAACGGTAGGGTTGCGAATGCGTTACCATCTTTACATAGAGTGGGCCCCGGCTACCTCAGTCACCAGAAGAAACGCAGAAGTGCAACACTTCTACTTCACGCCGGTCATCTGTGAGGTCGTGGTACTTCCCCGGACGGACCTGCCCATTCGTGCAACAGTGAACACTGTTGCGTGGCCCTACCACAGTTGGGTATATAGATGATTCCAAATTGTTCTCTTTTTTAGTGGACCCTTAGTTAGTTAGCTCGGAAAGTATAATACTTCCACTTTACACTGGTCTAACTTGAGGTCGTAGTACTTCTCAGGGCGAGCCTGCCCATTTAAAAATTAAAAGTTGGCAAGCGCTCCACCTGGTGTTAAGTGTTTACCGCCATTGACAACGCATCTGCAACCCGCTTGACTTAACTTATCACATAAAAAATGATTATTTAAAATTTATGGTACCAATTTACAGTTATAATGAAATTAGAAAAACAATCAATTTTCACATGAATTTTCGAATAATATTTTTCAGTCCAAACAATAGAACTATGTACATGACGCAAAAAAATATATTCTCGTCTGAATTATAGCTATATACTACATATATATATCTACATGACGGAAACCAAACCTAAAGCTGTATTTACAACACTACCTAGGACAATTCCTACGAATTAGTAGCAATTAGTGTAATTACAGTTACCCAATGATTCATAGTTATTATAAATCTATTTATTAGGGAAGCTAATGAAACTAAAACTGTTATTATGATCACTGTCACAACTTTTGGTTTCTTTGAAAGGGGGAAAGTCCCGTTAATAACTTTACCTCGGTCATAAGAAAGCGCGTAACGCCGACTCACAAAGGGTTTTTTTTATGTTTTCCACCAAAAGTTATATCCACTTTCGGCGGCAGTGTATTTAAATAAGTACTGCAGAGTTTCATGTGACTTATAATCTAGATACGTTTTCACAATGACAATTAGTTGAACATACCAGCAATTTGATACAGGCAACCTGAAAGGGTTAGATTGGGAGCATGCCCAATTTTCGGAGCACAATGATTCTGTAGGCATCTGTAGACTCTGGGAGGCAGTTAAAGCGGTACCGACACTTAAGAACAACTCTGTGTTTTATGGCGCAGCGCACGCGTCGCCCCCGAGGCGATAAAAATATAAATAAACAATAACGAAGGTTGAACGGCCAAGGCGGCTGTAGGTGACTCAGATTCTACCTGAGAGGAGAGCGGCTCGGTTTCGAAGCCCGTTTGCCAGGAATTCCGTGCTGATGGCGTTGCCGGCGCGTGGCCGTCCCGTGTGCATATTCCATTGTCGTGGTGTGTTGCATGCTTACCTTAGTTCGCTTTGATAAATGTTTTATTTTTATTTCGTAAAGAATTGAAACTGAACCTGTCTGAACTAGTTTACTCAATAAATCTAACACTAAGACCACGCACAAAAGGGTAAGTGGAGACGTGTTAATGTTTGCACTGGATTTGTATGTGGTGGATGAGCTATAGGATTTGGATCCCATAACTAACGAAGCCAAACTAAACTTGCTTTATCCAGCACTCGGAAACGCAACGCTGTATTCGTGAGTGTTGTTTTCGAAACCCGTTTCCTTTGCGGGGGCGGCGTAGGCGATTCTAACATGTAAAACGAAAAAGGCTAAAACTACACTATAACGTAGCATTCGTCGATGTTGACAATATACAAAAATGACGTACAAAATGTTTAAAAATAACGGTGTTATTTTTAATTACAAAAGGGACAAGCGTCACTATAGATGTCGTGGTTGTTTTTATTCTACAATAATGAATAAAACATTGAGATTTCACGGTGTAAGACACAGGTGATTTGCAACTAATAATAATTATAGATTTTTTAGACGCAAAGATAAGATGAGGATCGAATTCTTCAGGTCACTTGTTATTTACTATAACCTGGTTTAGATGTTTCACTTGCAAAAAATTCAATTCAATTCCCGGAAATCTGGGTTTCATATGAGCGATAAAAATAGACACCACGTGTAAATCGAACCTACCACTCGCGACACCGACATCACTCAACAAACACGGCAAACAACCGTCATTGAATGTAAGCTAAGACCATAACAAATGAATTCCCTTATCACGGTTAGCGTCCCGTAAAAGACGTGGGTACAATTCATCGAGCGACCGGTCGCCGCTGTCAGACATCGGCTAATTGTGAAAGCAAATTCAGTAAGCAAGTGCATTGCACGCTGTTTGCAAATGCCATCGAAAGTGGATCATTCCGCGCTATGAATGGTCCGGACTGCGTGCAGTTACGTCATTAATATCGTTTTATCGAGTACTTTTAATTTTTAACTTTAAAAGTATACACTTAGTTAAGTTAAGGAGGCCAGTCGAGGCTTATTTAAACTAACAAGCTTGTTAAACTGGGTGGGTGTTAAAAGAAATTTGTGAATAAAATATTATAAAATCTAAACTATCCATTCGTAAACTTCTCCATCACTACATAGTATAAAACAAAGACGTCTAGCTGTCTGTCTGTCCCTATGTATTCTTAGATATTTAAAACTACACAACGGATCTTGATGCGTTTCTTTTACTGGATAGAGTGATGTTTGTAATTGAACTCCTCCGATACGGCTCGGCCCACAGAATCGGACAACATGTATTTCTCATCCCCCTAAATGTTAAGGGTGGTCCACCCCAAACATTTTTTTAAATTATATGGCAAAACGTTTGCCGGGTAGCTAGTATGTATAATACAATAAACCCGTGCGAAGCCGGGGCGGGTCGAAAGTTAAACATAAAATATGATCATGATGTCATGTCGTGTTGATCACCTTGCATCAAACTTCATCCAAGACATTGGTACCTACGTAAAACTGAAGATAAAAATTTTAAAATCACTCCAACCGTCTCCCAATATCGCCAAAATGTTTGAACCCAACCACCAATTAAAGCTCGAAATATAAATTGGCGATAAAAGAACTCATATACAGCCCCCATTAGTTTGGGTGTCTCGTTTGCTGCCCCGAAGGCGGTCATTTTAAAAATCCACCGTGCACGAAAATTCCGCGCATATTCAACGTAATTAGTAATTAGGTTTTGCTTAATAGCCCCCTCGGCGGGCTCAAATGTGGACATGCCGAGTCCGAATGCGTTATTGTCGAATTTAATGTTAAATGATTGCTACAGCCGAACGAAAAAAACGGGGCACGTGTTATCGTAAACGAAATAAAAACCGAAGAAGCAACGTCGAATCGATGTGACCTTTTCGTGAGACAGGCCATTGCAGAGAAAAATCGGTTTCGATGTCTTGCTTTGATAAAAGATCTGTTGTAAATAGTAAAGTATTTTCCCACTTCTTTGTATTGTATTGTCGGCACAACCGAATCGTGTGAGGTAGTAGTTACGACAGTTGACGTAAAGTGGCTGTTTGTGGGCTGTGGTAGACTAGTTTGTAAAACGGTTTATCTTTGGACTGGTTAAACTGTCATATAAAACTAAATCACTTTCTTGAACCTAAGGTAGATAATATGCAAACAAAAAATGGCTCATTTTTTAAATTTCGAACGTAAGCTGCTTTCGTCGTCAACCTAGAAATATTTTTTTTTTTAAACGGACAGTTCATTATACGCCCACTCGTGTAAAGAGGTCATTACCACACATAGCATGGAGAATGACCTCCCGTCCGGTGAGGGTTTAAGGCGTAAATGCTGGCGAGAGTGACTTATGACGGGCGCGTAAGAACAGAAAAAAAAAAGCGTTCCAAAATCAAATCACGTCCGACGCGTTCCCGCCGCGGCCGAGGGCCAATGCGCCCGCGCACGCTCCTAATGGCGGCGGGGAGGGGGGCGGACCGGTCGCTCGCCGCGCCGTGGTTAATATCTGCCAGTTTCGAGAAACTGGACTCTGGTAACGCGAGTTAGAATAATTAACTTGATCACTAATTAGACCGCTCTCGTTGCAATGCTTGTTTTAACATACACTACGGGCTGCAAGGAGCTATCCCATGACGTTGCACTTCGCGCAGCAGTGTAGCAAAAAAAATAAAAGAAATGTTCTGTAATTTGCTTAAACGTGTAAGAGATAACGGTCAATCATTACTTAAAAATCTTGTATAGTTTCCTTGTGTTAATATTTAATAATTTTTCTGTGCGATTTCATTCCCGAGAAACGCCTCTGCTTCGCTCCCGTAGGTCGTAGCGTGATGTTAACTCCTATAACCTACCCCAAGAATAGGGCTATCAAATGCAAAAAGATTTTTTCAAATCCAAAACAAATAAACAAACTCTTCAGCTCTATTATATTAATTAGTGTAGATTGGTATTTTTATGATATTCCAATATTTTCATATTTTCATATCTTATCCTTTACCCGAGCAATTCTTGTATATATATATATATATATATATATATATATATATATATATATATATATAATATATATATAATCGGAATCTCGGAAACGGCTCTAGCGATTTTCATGAAATTAAGTATGTGCGTAGATTCGGGGGCGAAAAATCGATCGAATGAAAAATATAATTCGAATATCACAGTAAATTTCGCCGCAAGAGAAAATGTCATAATAGCTCGGTCGGTAATCGGGCGGCCCCAAAACAGACGGCCGTGGTTCGCGTCACGATCATTTACACATTTATTTTTTTACTTTTTTTTCGATTCCAGATCATTGTTTTCTTTATTTTTAACTTTTTGGCGATTTGTTATTTTGTTATTTCTTTCCTTTTTTTTTAAAGTTCTTTCTTTTGTGAAAAACATCAGTTCATATTTTCTTATTATTACGTCGGTAAGATCGAAAAATATTATGCATATTTCATTATTCAGTAATTTGTGTCTAAATGTAATTTCCAAAATACACGATTTACCAAAAAAAAACAAACCTCCGGGTCCTCCGGGTACTATTATAATATTTTCTTAAAAGCTTATTAAGAACGCACCAAGGACGACATTCAGTACTTACGTCTAATCATACAACACCCGCTGATTAAAATTTAAAAAGAGTTGCAAGTAATGACAGCTGTCTCGAGAACTTGTAATAAAACGCGTCGGCTTATTTAATTTCGAGAATTAATGTTATATTTCTTTTAAATAAGAATGTTCGTAGAATCTTCCCATATAATTTGGTATTTTTTTTCAAACTTCCTAAGGTCTTTACGACAAATCTAATACTTTTGATAGAGCCATAATAAGACAGTGCTAAAGTGTGTGCGTAAAGTGGAAGCATAATACTTTCGCGTTTCGTCTGGTGAGTGAGGTGGCCGGAGCCCAATTTTCAAAAGGTTGTCAACGCATCTGTAACCCTCGGGTGTGGCAGATGTCCATGGGCGGCGGTATTCACTTAACACCAGGTGAACCGTCTGCTCGCTTGGCAACTTTTCACATATAAAAAAAAAATCCCTCATTACTTTGGGGCTAGAAATATGTAATATTTAATATTTCTAGCCCCAAAGCTGTAGAGCTTGCTACTGCTGCTGTTTACAGTTATTATGTCCTATTACACGAGACAAATACATGTTCATCTTAACCAGACTACGGGGTACCAAAAAAGGAGGGTTATGTGTTTGCATTGTATGTTTTGTCTATGTGTATGTCCCTCCCGGCCGAGTGGTGATAGCTGATTGTGCGGGCGCCCGCCTTTAATTCAATATACTCAAGCAACCCGAATTCAAATCCCGTGCCGGCACCAATGAAGTTTTTAATTTTAAGTGCTGACTTATCACGTGAGAAAACCTGCATATTTTCGAAATAATAACAAAAAATATATATTTCGAAGATGTGTGAAGTTCGCCAATCCGCACTCATTGGAATATGCTCTGATACCTTTTGTATAGAGGAGGAATTTGCCCAACATTTGGAGGCTATTACTTAACTTTTCTATGTCTAGCGTTAGCGTTACCGGGTATATTGATTTTTTTATTTAATAGCGGAGTTTTATTACCTAGCGGGCAGGCGGTTCACCTGATGTTAAGTGAATATGCGCTTCTGATACACCCGAAGGATGCGTAGACAACCTTTTAAAAAATGGGCCCGGCTACCTTACTTAACAGACGATCAGCGAAAGTATTATACTTTCACCTCATGCCCGTCTTCTGTGAGGTCGTGGCACTTGGACGAGATTGTCCATTGGTGGAACAGAAGAAACTGCTGCGTAGGTCTACAACTATTGACTTGTTAGCTATAATGTATCGTTTATTTTTTACTCGCATGCCTCAGATAAGGAGTCCTTTATTTGAGAACACGATCAATATCTGCCAAAGGGTTGAATTCTTTTGGGGTTCTTTCAATGATGGCAGTGGAAGACCGCCATCAAAACCACACAGACTATGGCCCACCGGTTACCTTACTCACAGGAAGAAAAGCAAAAGTAATCAAACTTTTATTACACAAGAATATGTTCAAAACAAAAACGACTTGATAGCTTTTAGCAAATGGGGCGCCATTATTTTCGTCGTAATTGTGTGTGACATAGGCAACAGTGCTCGATAATATGTATTGGTTTTACTCAGTGAAGTTTAATTTTTAACTAGCTGCTGCCCGCGACTTACGTCTGCGTAGAATATGCTGAAGGCGTAAGATTCAGACAGAATGACTGATATACATAAAACATGTGTATAAATTAAAGCCTATGTCTTATTCTGATGTGAAAGCTATATTATTGTAAGGTTTCATTAAAATCCAGCATTTGCGTGAAAGATAAATAAACATCCATCCATACATAGAAACTTTTGTGTTTATAATATTAGTTAGGATAATTCGCTGAGCCACGTAGGTAAGTTGGGTACATCGTGTCGCGGCATGCGTGCAATGATTTTTCCGCGCCGCTCGTAAATGGCGGCTAATTGCGTTGCGTGGCGCGTTCCCGCGCATTTTATGACGGAGCGGTACAGTCAGCGCGGATGTCGCCGCCGGCACCCGAAATTTTCAAAGCCGTTTTATTTTTCATTATTGAAAACCGGTGGCCGTTCGGATAATCGCACCGGCTATTATTGCGACTATACGAATAGTTTCGCTACTCAAAAGAAAATTTCACTTGAATAAATACGGAATAACACAGCAGACAACTAAACTCACCCCGTTTGAAGGAACATTTTTTAAATTGCTATTGCTAATCTATTTGTTTGTGTTTACGAGAATACAACACATTGTTAAAATATATAACTAGCTTTACAATCTATAGTTACGGGACAGGCTGTTTTATGTCATAGTTAATCCGTTACTATCAACTTTTTAATAACTTATTTTGTCCAATCCATGCCAGTACCTGCAAATTGAAAATCTGCGTAAATCGGTCAAATTACGTTAGTTATTGTTAGCACGGATCAACTCTGACATAATAATGTAATACAACTCAGACCCGTGGCCAATGGACTCAGTTGTGTTTCGATTTAACAATTAAGTGGGTGCTCAGAAAACAATAATTTGTGAACATTATTTGTTGTACGGCACAACCCGCCTCGCTGGGCTCAATCAGCAATTAAAATTTTTAGCAAACAACTTCATTGATTCCGGCCGGCCCGGGGTTTGAACTCGGGCCGCCCGGCAATACCAACTTAATTAGTGGTTTCTGATTCACTTAGGTTACTTGGCGCAACAACGCCCCAACTAAATCTCGTACTTTTTCCTGTCCCCAGAAGACATACACTGTATACGGAGAAGTTGCATCGAAGTCAACAAATGTCAATTCCTTGTTCACTGTACGCTCGTTTCAGACTCATAAACCAAAACAGACCATCCAGTGCATAGCATAGGTGCTGAGGCATTCAACAATATATCCTATTCAACAATGTCAAGGTAGTATCCGCATAAATACTGCAAATCTTTATCTGTCTCAAACACTTATCGACAACATCAAACGTAAAACTATAAGCGATTGAACCGATCCTTTTTTTTTGTGGCAAGCGAGCAGGCGGTGCACCTGATGTTAAGTGATAACTGCCGCCCATGGACATTGGCAACACCAGCAGGGTTGCAAATACGTCGTCACCTTTAAATACAGTGGGCTCCGGCCACCTCACTCATCAGAAGAAAGAAAATAAATGTAACGCTTCTACTTTACGCCGGTCTTCTGTGAGGTCGTGATACTTACCCGGACGGACCTGCCCATTCGTGCAACAGTGAACACTGTTGCGTGGCCCTACCACATTTAAACACGAATCTATTAATTCTCCATTCATTCCATTACTTCGTCGACTTGAAAAGAAAACAGCTTTTAGGACACTATGTTAGTGTTTCAATGCTCCTATGCGTTATGAAATATAAAGAGAGAATGAACCCTCTGTCCATGACATGAAAGTCAAGCTCGCATATTCAGAGCAGTAGACCACCTTCGTGTGTTAATATTTATCGCATCCGCGGCTTGGCGGCACCCGGGGTTCCTCCCACCCTCCTCCCTCTGCCCCACGGTCAAGGTTCGCAACAGCTTCTGCCGCCACATACTCCTCTCTTTTACCCCGAAGCCAGTTTCACTGGACATTATAAATTTTACCAAAAAAAGTTCCGACTTCAAACCGGAAACTAAAAAACATTGTTAACAACTATAACATTTGAGGATTGCCCTCGACTTCTCTGGGATGCCATCATCAGATACAGGTTTCCTTATCATGGTACCACCGGGGGGATATCTCCTTTCCAACAAAAAAATAATCATCAAAATCGGTTCACAAACGACGAAGTAGTAAAGCGAACACGCATAAGAAAAAATAAAAACATATACGGTCGAATTGAGAAACCTCCTCCTTTTTTGAAGTCGGTTAATAAAAACCTCCTTCTTTTTCGAAGTCTAGGCTAAAAAAGCAGGACCCCCGCGTCTGGAAACGCAACTCGAATCGGCAGCGTCTAAGCCTGCTGGGTAGCCAGGTACGTGAGCAGTTGGAGCCGCGGTCAGTTGTACAAACACCGGCGTGGGGGTCAACGAACCCGATCGCGTGGAAGTTAAAGTTGATACAGCGTTAGCACGAAGTCGAACGATTTGGGAAGCGAACGATGAGCAAAAATGAAGATACGAGGAAAGACCTGATAGTACTCCAAATTGCTTATGTTCACTAAATAACCTCAAATTACATAAATATGCAACAATCAAATAGTGAGAACAATGCACAGACACACATAAACCTGTATGTTTTATCTTTTTTATTATTTCTTATTGTATTTCCTGCCTCATCGGGATTATTATACGTATATCGTTTATACGAAAGTAATTATAACTTTTTTTGTACCAAATATGATGAAACATCTGAGGAATGAAATACATCAGCCGCAGTATCTTAAGAATTCTATACAAGTTTACCGAAAAGATAGTAAAACCCCAACAGGTAAACATCCGTAAAACGCCGCCGTATAAAATACAACGCAAAACGGTAATTTACGGTATTCGAATTTCCAACCAGTTCACGAGTCCACTGCTACTTCTCTCAAATCCCCCCATCAACGCAACGTTACTTGTATCGTACAACAAACGCCCAACAAAAAATTAACAATGAAACGAAACTTACTCTAAACACATAACACATTACACAAATGTAGGTATTTATATTGGTCTAGAAGAGCATAAACACAATACGAGCACAGCGTCGTAATGACAAAGCAGTTATAATGTACGCGACAGATGAGACACAAAAAAAAAAACTTAACCAGTTCGCGTCGTAATGGGTTACTACTTACTGTCACGAGTCAAGGTTTACTATGTGGAGAGATTGAGTAATCAATGCGCACTGAATATGCCTCTGTCGAATGAGTTATACACATGAAAACCTTTCGACTGTTTCACTGTGGTAGGGCCACGCAAGTTTTTGCCGTTGCACGAATGTGCAATTCCGTTAGCGAAAGTAAAACAAAAGACATTGGATGACTGGTTATTTAATAAATAAGTTCTAAACCGGTCTCTTACAATATAATAAAAAGTATAAATGTCACATAGACGTATAGTAAAACGTAAGTATTTTTAATTTTTTAGTCAATTGACTATGCAAATTAATTGGCTAAAAACCAAACAGCGAAGCAATAATAATGTGTTAGCTGTGACCTATCGATGGTCCTCATAATTTCTCGGAAAGAACTACAGCCCCGTGTAATATTAAAACTGTATCGATGTTGTACAAATCAGCGACTACGATAACACGATATCGACATATCGATATCGCTTCACTGAGCGCGACTCCGTCGGCAACGGGGGCCGATAAGGGTTCATAGCGTCAGGTCGATCAAGTGGCGTCTTATCAATTACACGCACTGGACCCTAGATAACGCTACTCTACGCTTATCTCTAGTCCCACTAACAGGCAGCCACTACGCATACTCTATAATAGCTACATTCCGTCCCGAAATCTGTATCCACTTAACTAATGTGAATGCAATGGACATTCACACTAGGATAACTGAGATTTTGTGATTTTATCTTCGCAGGAAAAAACATCAAAAAGATCGGAAATTCCCCTGTCCACTTCCCATGGCAAGAAAACACATTTCACTGAACAAGTAGTGCTTATAAAAACCGTTGTTTTCTTAAAATAACTTTACATACAAGATATCACATTTTTTAAAATAAAAGCTAAGTGTCTAAGAAATAACACTTAGAAGAATGAATTGAAAAATCTATCTAGGTTTTTTCACGGCAGACTATCACTTAATTTATATCCAAGAATATACAGCACTGAATAACTTACATTAGAAGCTTATCTACCTTCTATATTACTGTGGTAGGACCACGCAACGGTCCTCGCTGTTGCACGCGTGGGCAGGTCCGTCCGGGTAAGTACCACCTCACAAAAGACCGCGTGAAGAGGAAGCATTTATTACACTTCTGCGTTCCGTGTGGTGAGTGAGGTAGCCGGGGTTTACTTTATTAAAAGGTGGCAACGCATGTTGAACCCTACTGGTGTTGCAAATGTCAATGGGCGGCTGTCATATCATTACATCAGGAGAACCGAAAGCAAGCTCATTTGCCACCTTTTCACATAAAAAAAAATACATGCATACAACATACAACATGGATGACATTAGTCATTGCTGTCGAGACCGTTATGTTTAAAAAGCGTGAGACCTTATTTTTTCCATAAACGTAAATACCAACCTTAACGGTTAAGAAACAAAAAGCAAGTTAAATTATCAGTGGAGCACTGATATTCGAGTTCGTCGTTTAACGAAAGTAAGATGGTAGTACTGAGTTCACTTGCATCAAGATACATTAACAACCATATACAGGTTTAAAGCAACGAGTCAAATATTTTAACAACCTCGAAGTTTTTAATTATCTTTAACCGAAAAGCTTTAAAAGCATAATTATTAATTTAACTTCATTTCACATGCGCTAAGTAAATCATTTAAAAACCATTCGAAAATAAATTAAGGAAAAAAAAATTTCAAAACCTAATAACTGTGTTGTAATAATTTATACATTTACGGGATTTCGTCAACTTACGGCATCGGCAATATGAAAAGTAATCTAAGAATTGCCAACATTTCCCGTCCAATACAACAGCGCAGTTATTGCTATATTACAAATGAAAAAATAAATACGGACGTAATCCGAACGCAACTTTCCACTTAAGGCATCAACCATAAACAATAAGTGCACAGTTCAGTTTATGGTATCTGCAAAATGTTATCTATACCTATATACAGCGTGTCGTTACCATCGCGACAATAAATGAACACACGTCTAACGCTACTTGCCAATAATCATAAAAAAATATTAACGTTAAACAAAATCCCTAATTAAAAAAAATATTTTTCAAACTAATTAAGTAAAAAAGAAACAAAATTTGTAACATCCTATACAACTCGCGCCACAGCGTCGCATTACAAGCCTCTCCTTCTAAGAGTATGTTTTGTCTCTTTTAAATTCATTCAACCCATTCATATGCTTTGTGACCTTTACAAATGAACTTTACGTTACGCTTTTATAGGTAAGGCTGTTCTAAAATTCTTTGTTTTGGAAAATTTAATAACTCTGTAAATATTGATGTTTAAAGAATTTAAATGTTTAATACAACTTTAAAAAGTTATCCCCTATAAGTGTGTTCATTTATTGTCGCGATGGTAACGACACGCTGTATAGATACTAATACCTACATCTAAATCCAAAGGTTCATACGCAAATCCTACGTGTATGCAAATTAGCCCGATGCGGTACGCAGCGGGGGCGGAGTCGCCGATTGCATTTCGGTTTACTGACCTCCGATGATTCTTGTAGAAACGTACAAACGCCTGACGAAATTCTTTTATTACGCCCGACCGTGGTAACCGAATAAGGCGCACGCCTCACGGACACATCGCTACTCGATTATAACCTAAAAGCCAGTCTGATGTCACGTTTGTATCAACAACGATTAGAATGAACAAAGTAATTCCTTTTTTATTAACCAAATCATTCAGCAAGAAGCCCTAATTTTAATAACCCGATACAATTGTTTAAGTTTTAGACTACAATAGTACTGGACAGTGATTCACCAATGGCCCAAAGCTTAAATAAAAATTAAAACATCAATTAAACCCACACCCAACCACACCTTGTATTGGGCACTTATGCTATCAAGCAATAATAAGTGACCCAGAAATGACCACTTCATAATCATATATAAGTCTTATCACTAAATGAAATTATGTAATATTTAGTATATTGAAGCTACATTAAACTCAAGTCTATATTGTGAAAATAATGTTATTGTTATAAAAACTAACTATTAGTAAATATGTCATTATATGTTTACAGCATTTAACTATATTCTAGTTAAACACATGTAGGTACTAATTTTAAATAAAAACATGTCTGTTTGAAAACAATTGGTTTCATGCTACAAAATAAAGCATTAATAATAATGTAAGTTTATAGTTTTCACTGCTTTATACCATGTAACATTATCTTAGCATTAATGTTCATGCATTATAATAAATATCATAGTATATTTCTTTCCAATAGTACACACATAGTAGTCACATGACTATGCATGGTAGACTATGAAATGTAGTTCATGATAGGTAGATTTAGAATGTAATATTACATTTTAAAATGTATAGGTCTGGTCTATCATATTGAAACAAACTTCAACTTGTGGGTAGTGTTAAGTTATTTTTCTTTGTATTATTCCATTTCTTTAATCCTTTATCACATCATCCTTAATAATGAACATTTTTAAATTAATAACATTGTGTTACTAAACAAAAAAAAAAACGAATATATTCACAATTAATCAAGATTAGATTAATATAAATTTTGCATACCTACTCATCTTTTTTATAATCAATTAATTTGCAGTTTCTTTCAGACATGCTGATATCATCTTTGCGTAAAAGACAAAGAGATTATTTTTATCATATCGTACTATTTAACGTCATTTGTTTGATAATGACCCACAGCCGCACACGAATTCAAGTCAAGTTCAATAGTATTACCTTGATGCAGAAAAACAGATAGATAATGAGCGCAATAATTAAAAGTATTTTTTGAAATGTTCAACATCATTTTAAATTTAGAATATATTTCCAAAACTATTGGATTTAATGTATCAAAATTATTATAACGATAATATCAAAAGCATGAAGAGAAAATACATTCGTAACCAATTTTTTACACTGCGGAATAACAGATAAACATAATATTGTACAAAGCGTTATAAAGACTGAAAAAGTAAAAACGAGGTATAGATCGTAAAAAATCATTCAATGATAAATGAAACTCTAATTAAGACCTAGGTATACTATAAAAAACTATAAATGTAACTTGCATCTTTGCAATTTAAATTGCATAGAGTGCAATTCAAAGCGATTACGGCGAACTATTCCGAGGGCATTCAACCGAATAGGCCTAGCAACGCGAGTTACCCACAGTGGCCATGACATCGAAATCGGTACAACAGCCTCCGGTCACTAGAGCATTGACTCGTTATTTCGACACTATCAAAACATAGACACCTTGAACTCGTTACAATATTGTCACTGACCTGTCAGAAGACTCGGAGCTGTCGTATCTGTCGATGCATCGCTTCTTCCTGTCGTCACCGACTACGGTGTTGGTGCGAGGCGATTTTCGGGAATCCGTAGCGCCTGGCACCGCGGCATCGCTAGCGACCACGCCGCTCGAAGCACTTTCCTCACTCGAATCACTCGTCTCCAGTTCCTTGTAGAACGACAACACCAACCTACCGCCGTCCGGGGTTTGTCCACGGCACTTTTTTATGTCACCATGCGAGTGATCGGCCGCGGAAAAAGTTAAATCGTCCGATTGAGTCCGGGCGGCGCGGCGTTCGGGCGACCCATCCGCCATCTTTGAGCGCACGAGTGTTTTGTCGCGTGTTTGCGCGCGGAGCCGCAGCCGGCACGGGCGCTGCGGTCGCGCTGCAGGCGCGGGGCGAAGCGCCTACGTGACGTCACGGCGGCTGCGCGGCCGCGGGGGCAGAGCGCGGTGACGTAAGGGCTCCGCCCCGTGCATGTGCACGGGCGCCGTCATTGGCCGCGTGTTACGCAACGCGCAGGCCTATTCAAATAGCAGGCCGAAGGGAGCGCTGGGCCCATCCCAGCCCTGGACGTAACAAATAATGCAGCGTAATGAGCGTGCGCACGGCCACGCACACGCGGACACGCACGCACGGACACACGCACCGACGCCACTGAACAAGTGCATAGAAATTAATGACACGCCTCACCCTCTAATGTCCGAGCATTCCTTATTTCGCCTCGAACGTCAAGTGGGTGCGTCTCCGTCGCGCGTAATTGGGGATAGAGAAAGGAAGCTGTCGCCTAATTGCACTATGCACTGTGTACACATATTACTATTATTAATCCTTTATGCACTAAAAGTACAAAGGCGGACTTATCTCCCAGTCAACGTTAGTCAACTTTTTCTTACTCTTGAAAGAAAAAAAAACATGGTTACATGCCAATATCTGATTTACTGGAGAACTCGTAAGTACCTAAAACCTGTTGCACTGACTAGAAATAATAACTCTAGGTATTTAAGCAATAAGGAACACGTTGGCCCTTCTTTAGATTTTACGGTCCAGATAGAAAGAAGTTTTTTTTTTTGTAATAATAAGTAATTTGCTTTTCCTCGCTAATGAACTAGATGAATCATTAACATTGACTTTTTTTCTGCCAAAATCCAAAAAAAATTGTTGTCATTTTGAACATCGAAAACTTCTTCTTTTACCCTGCTTAATAAGTATCGGTTATTGTATTTTATACGGTGTTTTTATGTTTTTGTTTGTGCAAACAGTAACACGCACTTGTCCAAACGACTTGGTGATAACATCGAAGGAAGGTGAGACTTCAGTGTCATTGACATGAGACCATTATAAGAAATTCACACACAAACAAAAAACATTTTACTACGTTAACATCTATTCTGGCTTGCTTTATCATTATAGTATTTTTTTTTGGAATTGTGAAGCCATGAGGCTTCCCGCCAAAAAAGAAAAAGCGGCACGGGTTACAAATTAAGCAGCTTAAAAGTTACCTATACATGTCCCACTGCTGGGCAAAGGCCTCCTCTATACAGAGGGTATCTATCATCAGGGCATAGTCCACCCCGCGGCCCCACTGCGGATTGGCGGACTTCACATATCTTTGAAAAATTTTTTTGTTATTATTTCGAAAATATGCAGGTTTCCTCACGATGTTTCCTTCGCCGCGGAACACGTGATAAGTCAGAACTTAAAGTTAAAAACTTAATTGGTGCCGGCACCGGGGATCGAACGCAGGTTGCTCGAGTATACATTGAATTAAAGACGAGCGCCCGGACACTGAGCTATCACGGCTCTAATAATAATAAAAAGGTAAATGGAACCAAATAAAATATTCGCATTGGTCGTGATTCTACATCTATTATATGGACAAAAATATCAACAAAAAAACCAGCCCATTCTATGGTATATTTTTGTTCATATAGCATAGAATGGGCTGTTTTTTTTGTTTACATTTATTGGTAACAAAACAAGCCTAAACGTGACTCGCGTTTCACAGTGACAGCTTACTAGTTGCGCAGATAGTTCAGCAGATGGCGGTTTTGCGCGCGAGTTTTTATTTTTTGGCGGCACGACACCACGGCCCGTCCGTGACCCAAACCGGTACTACACTGCAAAAACCGTATCTCGTTTTAAGTGCTACAAAATACATTAACGTTTAAAAGGTTCTGTATAACACTTTCTCGGTATACTACTTTCTTACTACATAATATGCTACACTTGCAATATAGTTTTTAGATAGAGAAAGCACTAGTACATTTAAAGGTAACAGAATAATTATGTTACTAAACAAAATATGTTTGTCTCTAAACTCGTTTGATATTAAAAGAGCAACTTTTTTTAGTCTGCTTTGGATGTACCAAAGTCTTGTCATCTCGTTTAACGATATATGTTAAATTAAATAAGTAAAGTTATTAACTTTTTCACTAACGTTGCAGACATAAACAAGGAAGAAAGTTTTATAAAATTTATTGTAACGTATTACAGTGCATGTATCAGTGAACGAAAATAAAACACAAAATACTACGTAGGTCCATTTTGTATTTTACTTCTATAATCTTGTACTGAAACGTAGGTATTATTAATCCTCAAGCCCTCGAAGGTATTTCGCCTCGAGAAAAGTTATTTGAAAACTGACAAATAATATACATTTACAAATGCCCACGGAACTCTAATAACGAAACGGAAAAGAATTAAGCGAAGTCTTAAATCTGTCACGAATATTGTAGTTATACGAGTAAACAGAACCGAATTAAAAGCTATTTTTAAGACAACCTTGTTATAGGGTTTTAGTAAAATTCTTATGCCTAACTTTGACTACATTACAAGTATATAATCAATATATAGTATTACCTATATACAAACGAATAGTAATAGTATATATAATATATAATCAAAGGTGCCTTAAATATTTTACATAGATGAAGAAATTAATATAAGTTATTTAAATCTTTTTGAGGGTTATTATTATAATTATCTTTAATATGAATTATCAATCGCCACTGATATTGGTGAAAAAAACATGTTAATGTCAAGGTTTAATTATACGTAAATATCATTAAAACGCCAATTAATTATTAATTTATGGTGATTACTGAGATTTCAAAACGAGTGTCAAATTTTATCTGCGACATTGTGAGGCTTTTATAAGATAGGCGAGGAATGGTGATTGTATAACGTTGCAGTTATCGATTAGTGGTATAACCCTACCTGCTGCAGTTTTTTCTAATCTAGATCATTACAATAATAAGTAACATGTTTTTGTAAAACATTCTGTTACTTAATCACTTCAGCAGTGGTAATATTTAAAAAAATATATCAGCCATGAAGTTTTAATTTTCCAGCTTTAGAGTTAGACATAATAATGGTCTTGGATGCAGGTGTCGCCTTTATATTTTGATACTAGCTGCTGCCCGCGACTACGTCTGCGTAGAATAGGGTGAAGGCGTAACATTCGGACAGAAAGACAGATATACATAAAATATGTATATAAATTGCCTATGTCTTATTCTGATGTATAAGCTATATTATTGTAAAGTTTCATTAAAATTCATTCAGTAGTATTTGCGTGAAAGAGTAACAAACATCCATCCATACATACAAACTTTCGCGTTTATAAGTAAGGATTTCCAATTTTCGTCATTTCGTCATCGGCCTGCGTCAATAGTAAGTTACGATCCGCAAACAAACACTGAACTAATTAAAATATTTTTTCCTAATCTAGATCATTACAACAATAAGTAACGTGTTTTGTTAAACATCTTTAAAATGCTTAATCACTTTAGCAAAATCAGCCTTTGAGGTTTTAATTTTCAAGCTTTAGAGTGAGACATAATTATGGTCTTGGATGCAGTTGTCGCCTCTATGTTTTGATATTTCCAATAAACATAATTTGTCTTTAATGCTCCAAATTCTAGAGGATTATGGTGAGATTTCCAAGTTTAATATAATAACGGTGTTAAGAGTATATGGTGTTAAAAACAAACGAGTCACTAATATTAGTGTATGTATGTATGGTGCTAATTCACTATTACCTATTACAAAATTCTCATAACACAAATGCCTTTGAAGATACTGACTCTTTTTTAAGTAAATAACAAGGTTTTCTTGTATGTTTTTGTATTTTACGGTAGGTACGGCATTCCTATTACATTATTGTACCTACTCTGCTATACAGTCACATTACGGTATAAGACCTTGACATAGTTCGGCATTGTATTTATTGTATTCGCCCTAGTGGCACCATCTAGGATACGAGAATAGAAACTATGTTGATATTTTATTACGATTTGTTATATTATCAAGGATATAACATATATTTATTGAAATATATTTGTTTTCTTATTATTGGGAATTGTTTTAGACCTTGTACGTATTTTGGTTTTTCTTAACTTATTGTCTTATTTTTCAAGACCTAAATAATTATTTCCATAAGTATGTTTTTTTTTATTACCTCACCTTATTTCCTACTTAATGATCATGATACAGGTTATTATAAAAATTTAAGATTTTTATTTTATCAGTCAAAGACTATCAAATAATAATGAATACTAAACTTATGATAAAGGATTTCTCATGTCTAATGTGAGAGCGCCATCTATCGCTTCAACATAAGAAGCGGGAAACACTTTCTTTTATTGCCATCTATTTCTGTTAGTGACGTATTATTACATACCTAGTAGAAACGCCAATCAAAGAAGTTATTGCGTTGGTGCCATTCCCAACAATGCAAAAAAAAAATAAGTGAAGGTGTTATTTGATTGTGATTTATCTGCATTTTTTCCTTGAGTATCCATATATGTACATATCAGTTAATCTTCGCAGACGAAAAACCGCGCCCAAAATGGAACGCAACATTCGCTTGTAACACACGTGGCTCAACGCAGTCGCCGTCGAGAGTTTATTTTCCGAATAATTTTAAATTTTGGTGTTTAAATGCCCGATTACACTTTATGTGCCACTGCACTTGCGAATTAAACAGAGAAAGTACGATTGTACATTTCAAGTTATCCCAACTTTCCTATAAGGTTATAAAACTTTAAAAATAACGATAACTCGCATGAAAAACGACAATAATTCCAATTGGTAGGGGAACTATTAAAATAAAAGACTTTACTATTAAAGAAATATTTTATTAAATTATTAAATAAATTATTTACATTTATGGGTCAAATATTTTATTATTAAAACATACAAACATTGATCAAGATCAAAATATAAACACACAGACGAGTAGTAATACAGATACAATTGCACCATATCGTAGAAAAAAAAAAACATTCCAAAAGTATCACAGTACTCACAATACTATTTGTATTAAATTAAATAATAATTGTTTCTAATTAACGGAAATTCAATAAAAATGTTACTTGGTAATCAATAACAATACTTTTATCTATTTAAAAAAAATACGGCTTAAATTGTAATCTCTATTAAAAAGACTTGACATAATTATGCTTTTCTTATTTCGTAAATAAATCAAATATTTAAGCACCATAAAGACGTAATAAGCAGTTTTTGCATATGATCTCTTATAAAAATACTCTTAACGTTTAAAAATAAGCACATAAATGGACATCAAACTACAATATTAAACGAATATTATTAAAGACAGCATAATTAAAGTTATAACTTAAAAAAGTCATCATTATAATTAACATTATTAATTATTAAGAAAAAGAAACGAGGTAGATTTCTATGGAATGGTATCAATTATAGGAATGAATTTAATTACTTTTTATTGTAATGTAATATAATTCTTTATTTCTTCTCTGATTTAAATAACTTAGAATAGTTTACGGAACCTACTTATAATGATTTAAGTATAAACATACATAATATTTTATCTGACAATATGCTGTCATAGTAAAATAATAAATAGCTAAGCGCATAAAGATTTATATTTTACTTGTTGTTAATCTATCAAATTAACTCTTAGAATTTTAAATTTATGTTTATCAGTTTAATTTTTTCTATTAAAATAGCGCGTAAACACAATGACACTTATCATTTTGAATTATGTGATTTGCATAATCCAAATATTTTTCTCTATTTTGTTATAAAATTCAACTAAAGGATACATAAATAACAACAGTATAGAACAATAAGAAGTTAGAAGTTAAAAAGTACATTTAAAGTGTCACAGAGTAAGTTGTTACACCTTTCTTAAAATTAGTAAAATACTCGAATCTCAACTTCTGTATTGATATCAAAAGTATTTAAGAAGTAATTTGGTAATGGTATTGAGAATTATCAATAAAGTTAGAAATAGCTTCCAATATGAAAGTCGATATTGTTAATAAAATATGTTGGTATTTGATAATATTAAAATTAATGAGTTTAGTGAAATATACATATATTTATAGATATATAAGGTAGACCATTACCAGATGCGACGTAATTTTCGAACCTTTTTAAAACAATGTTAGTGATTATGTTATTAATTATTAACTTTCTTTTTTTTAATTAGATTCGTGGCTAAATTAAAATGGACAGGATTAAAAAAATATTCCTAATTAGTAGTAAAATTTATAAATCGATTTAATGAAATTACTATACAAAGCTTGCTGAATTATTTGATGTAGATTATCCATGGAAATTGTCATTGGGTTGTAAAAGTTGATCAATAATTTAATTTAATCTAGTAATAGTATTTAAGGTTATTTAAAGTATTGAATTTATGAAAAAAAAAATAGTTAAATGTCATACAAAATCCAAATAGAAAGGCAGTCTTTCATAATTATATTTGGTGGGTCGACAAAAGGAAATAGATTGTACTTCTTCTATTTGTTTCGCTGGATCTGAAGACATGGAAACTTGACTTTTTAAACTATTCATTGTACATATTTTGATAACCTATTCTAAAATGTTCATTCTGCCGCTTTCGTCGGCTTAGAACAATGATAATTCTAAACAGCATTATTACACAATAGTTGGTCTGCGATTTATTAGGATAAGGCTATGTCCACAATGAAGTTGGCATCATACCCTCCATCGAGGTGTTCCTTGGCGTGAGCACCTCGTTGCACAGGAAATTCAGCGGAAAATCGACCAGGTAGCCTTGGATGAGGTCGATTTTCCTGTTGGCCAAGGCGGGATCGCTTCGCCACAGGGTTTCACTGTGCTCCTCTTGGTATTTCTTCAGTTCGGCGAAACTGTGCACCGAGTCGGTAGGTATTGAGTGGAACACCTGCAATTGGATTAATGAGGAGTTAAAATATTAAATGTATCTTGTATTAACTGATGTTTTTGCTTTCAGTCCCGAGACTATTAAAGCTTCATCTGACGCAGAACCGGTGGGCTAGCCAGAACCCACGGGTTTGGGTAAAATATTAAATGTGTAGTTTATGGTACTTAGTCGTTATCATTCCAGAGTCAATCGGGGGATTTGTTTAAGTATCAACTGTGGTAAGGCCACGTAGCAGTATTCGCTGTTGCACGGATGGGCAGGTCCGTTCGGGTAAGTACCACAACCTTACAGAAGACCGATGTGAATCTTTTGAAGCAACCCTACATGTGTTGCAAGTGTCAATGGGCTGCGGTTAACATTTAGCATCAGGTGATCCGCTAGCTTGCTAACCACCTGCTCACATAAAACAAAAATTATTTTAAAAGTTTTTATGTTTTTCATTCTATTGGATAGGACAGTGATTCGGCAGTATAACTGCGACAACATAAAATTTTTCCATATTTCTGTGATAAAGGTGACATTTTTCAATTGGTTAGAAAATATTTGGCATGCTTAATGAATCCTTTTTGTGGAAACTATATACATTGAAAATTAGTTTTGTTACACATGAAAACTTATCATAAGCCTATTATTGCACCTAAAATAGTAATGAAGTAAAGTATTTTAGCTAAAATAAGGAGTTGACCAAAATTTATTTAATACCGTCTTAATTATCACTTAGCTAATTGTGTGTTTGCAGAAAATATGTATTGGCATAGAATTTAACATAGAAATATAAAAGAATATCCATTTTCCTAGAAGAATCGAGCCGCGATAGCTGTGTTCCGGCACATATTAAATTCGGTCGAACAACCTGACACCTGCTACACGGCCGTATTTGTTTTGTTATCTACTTTACTATTTCAACACGAGGGGCATATGTACCTTACGAACCTACATGTATAGTTTTTTTATGTAAAATTTGACGATTCATAGGAACGAGCAAGCGTCTATTTGAATAAAGATATTTGATTGATTGATTGATTGATTGTGCGGTGTCACTCGCCTCCTCGTAGACGGCCGTGTTGGTGGCTGAGGTGGCCTTCCACAGGCCCCGGTAGAAGGCGCCGCTGCAGGGGTCCTCGATGCTGGGCGCTCCGGGGGGCGCCTCCATCAGCCCCAGGTGCTCCGCGAATAGCCGCCTCCGCAGCGCTCCAGCCACCCTTCCGCTGGGGAACGGCCTGCCGTCCATTGTGCCTTCGTCGAATTGCTCGTCCTGGACGAGCGGACCAATGGCTTTATTTTTTTGAAGAAAGGTCAATGCTGTGTTGTTAGGACCGTCTCACAAACACAAATATCACGTGGACAAGCACCTAGATGCGAAACAACTATCTGTGGGTCGCACAAATAACTGTCCCGTGCGGGATTCGAACTCACGACCCCCGACGCTGAAGCTAAGACCTTGGCAACCGTTCAAATGATGGTTAAACTCTCTGAATTGATCATTATGATCCCAGTTTAACCATCATTCCCGCGTGATATTTCGTGATTTCTGTCAAAACCCCTCCCCCCCCTCTCGAGCCTCGCGTGATAAATGGACGCCTCCCTCGATATTAGGGTACCTGGATGAGCACGGCGATTTCCGAGTCCCGCTTGCCCAGCATGGAGCGGTCGTTGATGTTGGCGCTGCCGCAGATGACAGTCTTGTCGTCCACGATCAGCAGCTTCGAGTGCACGTAGATCAGCTCGGTGACAGGCTCGCCGTCCAGCAGCGAGTGCGTCCTCAGGCCGTGGAAGGTGATGTACTCGCCGGGGTCCGGAACACCGGCCTCGTACAGGCGGGTGAGGATCGCCTCGCGGCTCCTGTGTGCGTGTTTGTTTGTTCGTGTGACGTCCCGTCGTTATATGTGATGCAGAATCCAGTTACAGTTTACGTTTGTTACGAGATAATTTTATCGCTGCGATCATTACAGGGTCATATAAATTTTTACTTTTTGTTTAGATATTCTATATATAAAAATATACATATTTAACGTCCATAAAATCATTCTCTTCATCATTTCATTATAAAAGTTGGCAAAAATAAACAACCAGTGTTCATTGGCGTATTCATTGAAAATAGCCAAAAAAAAAAGAAGAAGAAGAAATTTCAACTTATACAGGATTTTATTTCTTTATTTGTTTTATTAAATACGAATATACTAGCTGGTGTCCGTGATTTCGTCTGCGCAGTATTAGTACTTCGAGTAGCTTATTTTCTTCGGTCCTATCTAAAATGGTTATGCGGTTTAGACGTGAAGGTGTAACATATAGACAGAATGACTTTGAGAGACCCTTGTATCTTTATAAATTAATAGCCCATATGTTATTCTGATGTATAAGCTGTATTACTGTAAAGTTTCATTAAAATTAATTCAGTGGTTTTTGCGTGAAAGAGTAACCAACTACTATACATGCACACATATTACAATCTGTGAGGTTCAGGTAACTAGACTACATTATCATCCACCTGCCTGTGTTCTACCCTCGGTGGGGTTTGCATAACATGTGAATCGTATTGCTAAAGGTATTGGCTAGGTCAGAGAATAAGCGGGATACGTAAAGATACGGTCTATACTACGGCAGAGAACACAGATGGGGTCCTCCTGCGACCCTTCTAGGAATTAATACGAAGGAGTCCGTAGCAGTTGCGCGCATCATGCGAGAGAGAGAGAGAGCGAGATGGGTAAACAGCCAAATATCTGCAGATGCTCCGGTAGCTCCGATTTTTCTAGGAATAGAACCGTATGAGTCCGTCATCTCAGCGCACATAGTGCGAGAGTAAGGGAGAAAGAGAGAGAGAGAGGGGTTAAGATCCGAATATTTGCAGATGCTCCAGTAGTTTCGATCCTTCTAGGAATAGATCCGAGCGCGTCCGTCGCCACACCGCGCATATTGCGAGAGAGGGAGACAGGAGAGAGGGGGAGGAAGAGAGTGGGAGGTAAAGAGAGGGGAGAGAGGGGAGACTGAGTAGAGAGAGAGAGAGAGAGAGGGGGGAGACAAAGTGAGTAGAGAGAGAGAGAGAGGGAGGGCGCGTACCTGCAGATGCTCTGGTAGTTCCAGTGCGTGACGGCGTGCAGCGAGGTGCCGGACGGGGCGCCCACCTCGCCCTCGAAGGCGGGCAGCAGCGGCATCACCACGAACACGCGGAACCGCTCGCCCGCCTTGTGCGCGCGCACCACGCGGTTGAACAGCGCCTCGCCGATCTGCGACACGGCCGCCGCTCTTATCGCGTCTTCCCCTTCATCTGCACCTCTCGTGCCGCCCAGTCTACCTCCCCTGGTCTCAGCCGCACTTTTTATGCCGTCCAGTGTACTTCCCCCTTCATCTGCACCTCTCGTGCCGCCCAGTCTACCTCCCCTGGACTCAGCCGCACTTCTTATGCCGTCCAGTGTACTTCCCCCTTCATCTGCACCTCTCGTGCCGCCCAGTGTACCTCCCCTGGTCTCAGCCGCACTTCTTATGACGCCCAGTTCATTTCCTACCACCTGATTTTACCTCTTATGGCGTCCAGTGTACTTCCCCTTAATTTTCACCTCTTGTGATAGATTTGAGAGCTGGCGAGACAGGTGAGCGAAGGCCAGACCCTACGCTTTTGAAGTTTGGCAACGCTTACGGATGCCTTGCCAACCCTCAAAAGCGTGTGCTCCAGATGTCAATGGACAGTGAAGACTTAAAATCAGTAGAACCACCAGCTCGCGTGTTCACCTTCTCACAATTAATTAAGCTTTTAGAAAAACAACCGTAATAAGTCATGTTTTGCAGTTGTATATTTATTGCTGATTTCACAGATGTATATATATATATCTGATGACCAGAATGAAGAATTATACAATAATTGTCTGTATTTATACAATAATTGTTTACTAACATTGTCTTGTATATGACTCGAAAACATTTTTGCTATTTATTTTCTTGCAAAATATGAATTGGACCTAATTTTGTTAAGGGTTGACAAAGGCTGTCAAGATTTGTCACTCCTCGCATGTGGTCGATGTTCATGGGCGGCGGTAATCGTTTAACATCATGTGCACCATGTGCTCGTTTGTCAACATTTCACATGAAAGAAACACCGATCAATCTGTGGTGTTGTGGCGACGAAACGAGATAAATCAGCATGCAACAACTATAAAGTATATCGATCACCGTGCAGGCTGGTTTGTTAGCGATGACTTGATCGAAACCTGATAATACCCTCTGTACAGGGGAGGCCTTCTCCCAGCCATGGGACATATTCCCAGGCTTTTGTTACTTTGCTTCTTCTACAATATACACTTCACCTGGTTCCTGACGGTGACGTTGGTCCTAGAGAGCGTGATGAAGAACTGGTTCTCGATGTAGACGTAGTGCTGGGCGCGCGTGATGGCGTCCACGTACGCCTCGTGGATGCTCTGCTCCACCGTGTCGGGGTCGAGGAAGCCGCACGACCAGCCGGACGCGCTGCGTAGCACCTGCACGTTACGCGGGCTTACGAGCGGCTACGGTTACACTAGCTCACGAGCTCGTGCGCTACGAGAGCTACGAACTGAATTACAAAGTTGAGTAGCTCCTGTACGGTTACGCAGGGTTAAACTGGCACACGGTTACGAGGTCTACGTGAGGCTACGAGACGACCACTCTATTCCGGTTTTGGTGGGGGTTACAAGGGCTATTGTAGTGTTTTTAAATGTTAAATGTATTTTATTTATAAATGGTATATGACATCAAGTTAACTGTCAGCTCGAAAGACTTAGGAATACTGCTATTTTATTAATAAATTTTGTAGGTAATGTTAAATTCAAGAACATGTAATTTTGTTTAATATGAATTCTGTTCTAGATGTTAAAACAATTAGGTGAAAGAATTAGAAAAAGGGAGTAGATTTGTCGTTAATTTACGTATATAAGAATGATTGCAGGTTTGGTATTCATAATTACCTGACACGAAGCGGTCTGAATATCGAGATTGAGTGTTTCTTCCAAGTCCTGGAGAGGCTTTATTTCGTTGTAGGTCTTCGGCAGCAGGTAAGGGTAGTTTGTGTTCTGTCTGTTGAAAATAAGAAATAAATGTATTAATATTAAGTTAAAGAAATAAAGCTGTGGCTTATAAAGTTATAAAATAGGTTAGTTTATACCATTTTTTTTTCCACAAAATCTGTTAATATTTGATTTATCGTTTTCTAAACAAAATGTATCTTCCTCTATATCTTTATATTGCTCCTGCATTTCAAATACAAAACTTTTACACGGACAAATAATATGATTTGGATGAATTATTGTTTTTCTATACTAATTGCTGTGTGGCAATAAGGCCGTCTTTTGATGACCAAAACTTGATAAATAGTTTGTATTTTGTACTTTTTTATTTTTATTTTTTGGTGTACAATAAAGTATATGATTCTTACGTAGAAATAAATAGATTCTGTGTATAACGTAGAAAAATATATTTAGGAAATGATTTAGAATTACACTGGCAATGGTTTAGATATCATTATGATATATTGATATTATGATATTGAAAAATTTAATGGCCATTTAACCATTAGTTTACCAGTTGACTATAGTCAATGTAACAAATTGTTAACTACGGATCCTGAGACCGGCTCTATGAGTTCGGTTTTTATTGGTCGGAAGCAAATAAACCGACTTCAGGTTATCCAGAATCGATTTTTGGGCAGAGCGTGGTGTATGCGCAACATCGACTAGGTGTTGTCACCTACAGACCCTTAGTTTCGCTGCAAATGGCCTAGACCATGAATGTTTCTCGATTTCCCTGACAATGAGATGACCACCGCCATCAAGAGGATAAAGCACACACACCCACACACACACACATAGAATCTGCTACGAAAGGACAGAACAGTGATAGATCTTCCAGGCCGCAGTGGTCGTTGGGACTTGCTACACAATCCCTTCTACACAAAATACTGTGGTCCGATTGGCGGAGGACCACTTGTGCCACTTGTACTCTTACTTTAGCTCTTTTTCCGTGCCCTCATTTATTATTTTCATTTGGTTCCCGTTGCTCTGTACCCACCTGTACTTCTCCAGCTTGATGGCGTTCCAGCGCTGCACGAAGTGCCTCGCCACGTCCCTGGCCGCGGCGCCCTGCACCAGCACGCCCACGTCGTGCCACGGCATGCGCGGCGTCGTGTGCCGGTCCACCAGGTCTGCAACGTCCGTCGCGTGCCGGGTGTGAGTCGGCGCGCGGCTCGGTTGGAGATAAGCCGCAATGGACGATTACACTATTCAGTTCGATAGTCCATTGCGTGCCGGGTGTGAATCGTTGCGCGAATCGATGGGAGATAAGCCGCAATGGACGATTACACTGTTCAGTTCGATAGTCCATTGCGTGGCGGGTGTGAATCGTTGCGCGAATCGATGGGAGATAAGCCGCAATGGACGATTACACTGTTCAGTTCGATAGTCCATTGCGTGCCGGGTGTGAATCGTTGCGCGAATCGATGGGAGATAAGCCGCAATGGACGATTACACTGTTCAGTTCGATAGTCCATTGCGTGTTTCGATAGTCCATTGCGGCCGGGTGTGAATCGTTGCGCGAATCGATGGGAGATAAGCCGCAATGGACGATTACACTATTCAGTTCGATAGTCCATTGCGTGCCGGGTGTGAATCGTTGCGCGAATCGATGGGAGATAAGCCGCAATGGACGATTACACTATTCAGTTCGATAGTCCATTGCGTGCCGGGTGTGAATCGTTGCGCGAATCGATGGGAGATAAGCCGCAATGGACGATTACACTATTCAGTTCGATAGTCCATTGCGTGCCGGGTGTGAATCGTTGCGCGAATCGATGGGAGATAAGCCGCAATGGACGATTACACTATTCAGTTCGATAGTCCATTGCGTGCCGGGTGTGAATCGTTGCGCGAATCGATGGGAGATAAGCCGCAATGGACGATTACACTATTCAGTTCGATAGTCCATTGCGTGCCGGGTGTGAATCGTTGCGCGAATCGATGGGAGATAAGCCGCAATGGACGATTACACTATTCAGTTCGATAGTCCATTGCGTGGCGGGTGTGAATCGTTGCGCGGCTCGTTTGGAGATAAGCCGCAATGGACGATTACACTATTCAGTTCGATAGTCCATTGCGTGGCGGGTGTGAATCGTTGCGCGGCTCGTTTGGAGATAAGCCGCAATGGACGATTACACTATTCAGTTCGATAGTCCATTGCGTGGCGGGTGTGAATCGTTGCGCGGCTCGTTTGGAGATAAGCCGCAATGGACGATTACACTATTCAGTTCGATAGTCCATTGCGTGGCGGGTGTGAATCGTTGCGCGGCTCGTTTGGAGATAAGCCGCAATGGACGATTACACTATTCACTTCGACTGGTTCGTTCGTTCTTACAGTGGTAGTGCCACGCAACAGTCTTCGTTGAGTACCACGAGCTCACAGAAGACCGGCGTGAAGCGGAAGTTTTACACTTGAGCCCAGCTTATTAATGTGGCAAGTGTCTGTCCACGACGGTTATTAAATGTCATAACGTGTATCGCCAGTTCGTTTGCCACCTTGGCACATAAAAATAGTCCTGTCTGATGATAAGGACTCCGTTCAATACTATGGGGCGATAGTCTTAGGCGAACCATAACTTACAGTTGTCCACTAATGAACAGTAATATGCCAGTAAAATTAATATGACATAACTATATTAAAACAAAATAACATAGTTATAATTAATGTTCCATCATCGACGTAAACAACAAACTAATTAAATTTCATAAAATATTTAAACAACTCCTATATACTCCTCCTTACATAAAATTTATTATTTTGGACACATTAAAAATCTATGACCGTACAATAACAACTTCCCAATAATAACTTGGTTTTTGCACTCAGTCGAAAATCATAGAGACAAGTGTAATATTATAATTTACATTTGCTAGATTGTATCCAATATTTGTGCCCATGAATCATCATCGAATAATGAAGTTTGACGCGTATCAAATCGCTCACCCACAAAAGGCAGGTCCAGATTATTGAAGTCCTTCACAATGAAGTTAGTGTAGTCCTTGCCGATCCACAGCTTCGAGTTGCCCTCCACCCCCCGCGGCTGCCTCGTGCTCTCCGCCACCACCCTCCCCTCCACCACCTGGGCCAGCGGGGTGGGGGTGGGGGTGGGTTGTGCCGAGTGGCTCTTCACCCCGAGGGCGTCCGTCAACATGACTTGGCTGTTCGACAGCGCGTACTTCTCCGCCTTCTTCCTCTCCGAGTCGTCGAACTTCTGTTCGTTCCTGTCCTCCTCGAACGGGGGGTATATCATGCTGATAATGTCCTTCCCCCTGTCTGTCAGTTTGTTCAGCACATTCCTCTTCTGGTTCTCGGGCGTTTCTAACGACTCCTCGGTCTGCTTGGCAGAGGCTATCAGCAGCTTGTCCCCTGGCTCCAGCACCGGTATACCCTCGTCCGGTACGTTCTCCGTTTCGGGCTGCTCCCCTTCCCGCGGCTCGCTGATGCCGTTCTGCAGCGGTCTGCAATGCGATGTCGAGATTTTTTAATTGGCGTACGGAGTATCGACGAAGAATTGTATCGGACCGGTCTGATTGAACTTGTATTCGTACTTTTAATTATGGACGCACTGTCAAAGCAACACGAACAAACTGTAGTTTCCATTTTTTTTTTATGTGAAACGTTGCCAAGGGAGCAGGCGGTTCACCTGATGTTAAGTGAATACCGCCGCCCATGGACATCTGCTACACCCGAGGGTTACAGATGCGTTGACAACCTTTTGAAAATTGGGCTCCGGCTACCTCACTCACCAGTCGAAACGTATTTGTCATACCTCCACTTTACGCTGGTCTTCCGGGAGGTCGTGGTACTTACCCGGACGGGCCTGCCCATTCGTGCAACAGCCGAGCCTTCCACCGTAATGTTACGAAAAATCTTATCAGAAATTGTTTATGAAAAGTCTTACAAGACAATTATTTACTCACTCGTCGATGCCCAGCACCACGTCCCTGGAGGCCCTGGCGAGTTGCAGCGCCGCGGCGGGCGCGTCCCCCGCCAGCCGCAGCCCGCCCCCGGGCGAGCTGGACGTCTTCTTCTTGCTGCGGATCGAGCTCTTCGGCTGCGCGATGTTGCCCAGGTCCGTCAGCCTGCAACGTCACCGCACTCCAGGGTCGGACTTCACGTAGTGAGGTGAAATTTATATGCAATATTCGCGATGGCAAATAGCGAAAAATATAATAATAGCGAAACCCGCATATTTTCGATATCATAAAAAAAATATTTCGAAGATATGCATATAAGTCCGCTAGTCAGCAGTAGGGCCGCGCGGTGCACTATGCTACCCTATGTACAGAGGAGGCCTTTGCCCAGCAGTGGGACCTACCTGTGCCTGTGGTCGTCCCAGCGGCCGTAGCAGAGGTCGATGCCCCCCACGAAAGCCACGGTCTGGTCCACGCACACGATCTTCTCGTGGTGCGCCCAGAACAGCACGCCCGCCTTCGCGTGGTCAGGGTGCCGCATCACCTGCGAAGCGGCAACTCGTGAATCCCACTGCTGGGCGTGGGACGTGCTGCGTCCCAATGGCGGAGCGGGTGGAACACCGCCCCGCATGCTGTGGACTTGAAACTGTTTCACGGCAGCAGCAAATCAGAAAAACAAGTGTTACCGCGAGGTGGACTATGCCTTAATACCCTCCGTACAGACAAGGACTTTGCCAGCAGTGACGCCCGGTTTCTGAAACACTGATCATCGTAGATGGTACGTAGATTAGTTGACATCTTCAGAAACCGGGCGTGAGACATATATAGGATGTATGCTTTTATAAATCAGCACTATATTATATACCAAGAAATAAAAACATAAGTAAATCAATCAACCATTGGGTTGAGTTTATCAAAAACTGCTCATATTACACTTTATATTAATTTCTTAAAATAAATAACGGCGATAAACTTAAGAGCGATACATAATAATAAATTTCAAATCTTACTTTAATATTTTCACTTTTCCTCGTTAATATGTACTTGCTGTAGTAGCTGTTGATGCCCAGCGCCATCTCTACTTCCTTGTACAGCATCACGAACACCTTCACACCTTGAGCCTGAATTGGTTCAACAATAATAGAGAATTAAAATTATCATTAACTTGTTTTGTTAACTAATTGGTTGGAAATATTATTTCTATGTGAAAAGTGAAATGCATAAAAATTTAAGGAAATTTTATCATTCATGGTCCTTTGAGCCTTGAGATAAAATCGCAGCTAGTTTTAAATAGTCCATTTTTTGGACGTAGTATTAGAGTAGCTTCGCAACATTTCTTAAGGCTTTAACACGGTGTTTATAACGTACATATATTTGCTTGAGGAAAAAGTAAATGAAAAACTTGTATTTAGCCGGCGAGTTGTGGCATACCAGTTTACTAATTACCAACAAGTGTGATAATCACATTTCATTAACCAACGGCGATAATCACATTGAAACAAAACAATAATAAATAAATAAATAATTTCGCGTAACGCCTGGTGAGGGAGGTAGCCGGTACGCGCTCACCAGTTATCCCTCGGGAGTTGTAGACGTCCATGGGCGGCGGTAATCTGTTAATATCGGGTGAACCGCCCGTTCCCTCGTCGAATGTTCACACACAAAATAGTCGATGTCCTCGGGCGGCGGTGATCACCCAACATCGGGCGAACCGCACGTTTGGCAAAACGCGCTCACCGCCTTCCGCCTGAGCCGAGGCTGCTGCGAGGCCCGGTGGTTCGCAGCAGCCTCGTTCGAATGTTCACACACAAAATAGTCGATGTCCACGGGCGGCGGTGATCACCCAACATCGGGCGAACCGCACGCTTGGCAAAACGCGCTCACCGCCTTCCGCCTGAGCCGAGGCTGCTGCGAGGCTCTACGGTGGTAGAGCCTCGCAGCAGCCTCGGCTGTTGCACGAATGGGCAGGCTCGTCCGGGTAAGTACCACGACCTCACAGAAGATCGGCGTAAAGTGGAAGTATGACAAATACTTTCGCGTTTCGTCTGGTGAGTGGGGTAGCCGGAGCCCAATTTCCAAAAAGGTTGTCAACGCATTTGCAAACCCTCTGGTGTAGCAGATGTCTATGGGCGGCGGTATTCACTTAACATCAGGTGAACCGTCTGCTCGTTTGACAACTTTTAACATAAAAAAAAAAAAAAAAAAAAAAAACATCGGGCGAACCGCACGCTTGGCAAGACGCACTCACCGCCTTCCGCCTGAGTATGCAGTCCAGCCGCCAGTAGTCGCCGTCGAGGGCGGGCCGCTTCATGTAGAGCTCGGGGCTGAGCCACCAGTCCGCCACGAAGATCTCCTCGCGCGCGAGCTCCATCGCGTCGGCGACCGCCGCCAGGTAGGCCGCGCCGTCCACCAGCGGCAGCACGCGGGCGCCGGCGCGCGCGCCCGCGAACGACTGGTGCACGTTCGGCTGCGTGAACGCGCGCGCTGAGGGCCAACGTTCCGATTTTGAAATACCGTGGCTTTTATTCTTTTTTTCGGACTCGCTTCTGGCTGCTCGCGGCCAGTTTTGTTTTTTTTTTTTTTTTTTTTTTTTGAGTTTACTACAGGCCGAATGCGCGAACGATTTGAATTTGAATTAAGGTGGTTTTTCATATTGTTTTCTTGATTTTACGCGAATATTATACACGTTAAATGAAACCACTTTACGGATTTCATCGCGTTTTCTAATTTGATAAGAAACGCGATAAAATCCGTAAAGTGGTTTCATTTAATATAATTAAGTGGTTTTTATTCTTTATTCGCATTTGATGCCGGCTGCACACGGTCAGTTACATTTTTAATTGGTTTGTTTGGCATTACGACGGGCTGAATGCGCGAACGACAGGTGCATATTGGCACGTGGCGGTTCCATTTTTGATTTATTCTGTTCGACCGCGTGAAGTCACACACCGTATATATGAAACAGTGTCAATTTTGAATTGGAATGAGTGTTCTGTTTTCAAAAAGTATTTAACATAGTCTATTATTTACTTAGCCACCTAAACACAAATACACCGGGAACTGATTTGCCCGGAAGCTGCCGAGCTGCAGCGCTGATGTATCTCACCTGATTGGTTCGCCACAGTCTTGAGGTAGGTCATCCACTCTTTGCTCTTCCGCTTCGTCCAGCATTTGATCACCATCTGACGGCTCTGGTTCAGTATCTGCAGCCCGTGGTTCAGCCCCGTCGAGTACATACCGCTCGACACCTCGAACCTGGAAACGCATACGTATTACGTAAGCAAGACCACTCAAGATAGAAAGGGTTATAAGACCTAAAAAAACCCAATGGTTCAAAAGGTTGTCAAATCATCTGCAACCCTCGGGTGTGGCAGATGTCCCTGGGCGGCGGTATTCACTTAACATCAGTTGAACCGTCTGCACGCTTGGAAAATTTAATTGGAAATTTACCACATTAAAAATTTTGATCACAAGTTACAGGAGTACAGTACTATAAAATTTTAAATGTAATTTTAACTCGCAGACTATTAAAATGGCTATCACAAAGTTAAAAATTCTCTTTAACTTAAGTCGAAACAGTGAACATTGTATATAAAAACGAATACATAATAGTATATCCAATTAAATAAAAAGACATTGTCATTGCCGACGTAGACATCACGTGAACCGCTTGCTCTGGCAACATGTCACATAAAAAAAAAAACTAAACAGACGTGGCAAAAGAGAGTTATTAAGTTAACGATTAATACGTGTAAGATTGCGCATCTGTGTAACAATTGCCATCGGCGCTGAGGGTTCGATTCCCACACGGACCAAGTATTTGTGCCACAGATAAGGTTGACTGGTTGAATGCTGATGGCGTAAATCCGCCTTTGTGCATACTTAGTGTGCATAAAGAATAAATATATATATATACTAAGCATTTTAAATATATTAGGACACATTTTACACAACTTTCTCTAGTCCCAAACTATGCTATGTTTATACTATGGGTACTAGATAGCTGATAAACATAATTAAACATATGTACACATTATACATATAATAAATACACATTATACATATATACAGACCTAGACACTAGAAGAAAACTATGACTTCATTAACACTTCATCACACAATGTTTTTCCAGGAGTGGGGATCGAACCCACACCCTCTATCGCAGGAGGCAGGAAAACTACCCACTGCGCCATTCGGGTCGTCAAATAAATAATTATTCCGTATTATATTTGTGGCGGGTTGACATCTGGCAGACGGCCGTTGGTAAAAAAAACCTAGCCAATACTGGTACATGATTCACATACAAAATGGTTCCGCCGACCCCACCTAGGTGGGATAAGGCCGGAAACAGAAGAATGTTACTTTCTTTTAGATAATTCCAACCCAAGCGAGTGTTGTCGATTTCCATGGGCGGTGTTAATCACTTAACATCAGGTGAACCGGCTGCGCGCTTGACAACTTTCCTCATAGGAAAAAAAAATGCATTAGATGGTTGATGTTCACAGCAAGGAAACCATCACATAAAGCAATGTTAAACGGAGCTATAAAAATTTATTACCTTTCTTTTTCCCCAAGTTTATTTTTGCGGTACAAAATTAAGAGTTTCATCAATATGATACATGATTTTGACGAATGCTTAGTTATTTGCACATAGTTAAATGTGTGCGAGCTTATATACTAAATAAATCTGTTACGGTTTTAGCACAAACAGCCATAAACCTTTTATACTCACGCGTTCGCGTGCTGCGTGAAAGAAAAGAATGTGGTATATTAAAACTGTTGTCAGTATACCAAACAAATAGTTGCAATACATTTAGAGATTTACGCTGTGCTCTTCTGTCTTTGTGTCTTTTAGTTTTTAATCCCATTGCATTGACATGATAAAGATAATCCCAATATGTACCTATTATTGCTATTGTGCAAATTTGAAGTGAAACAATAGTATAAAGGCAGAATTTTCATGTTAGGCATGGAAATACAAATTAGACTCAAAACTCACCGTGCTATTACATAATAAACTCTACGACTATGGCGTAGGGTTAAAATTTAAATACATATCAGAATGAAACGGATACGTTTTAACTTTTCAACGGCGTTACAAAGTATGTGCGTAAACTAAAAGTCATCGTGCTATTCCACAATAAACTCTACGAGTGCGAAATAGGGTTCAAATTTAAATGGGATGACTCCGTGGCGCAGTTGCCAAGGTATTGGCTTCGGCGTCGGGGGTCGTGGGTTCGATTCCCACACGGGACATCTATTTGTGTGACCCATAGATAGTTGTTTCGCATCTGGGTGTTTGTCCGCGTGAAATTTATGTTTGTAAAACACAGGATAATATTATCCTAAAGTAAGGGCAGTGTTTTTTTTAAGAAAAAAAAATACATCTCAGACCGAAGCCCGTCTAACTTTGCAACGATATAAAGCCCTTTCGATGCAATGCGAGGTCCCATTACTGACCCCTGGTCGAAGAGCATGACGGCCTTGATGACCCCATCGCTGGGCCTGATGTAGCCGAAGAAGGTGTCCTTCACGAAGAGCCACCGCTCCTGCCACTTGGCGCACACCAGCCCGGTGCAGCAATAGTGGCACCTGCAAACACGCAACATTTACACATAAGCAAATACAAATATGAATGAATGAATGAAATATACATGATTGTACACAAACAACGGACATTGAATAATCAACAAAAAATAACACAAAACTGTACAATAGGTGGCCTTATCGCTAAAAAGCGATTTCTTCCAGGCAACCTAGTAAAAGGAGCTAGTAAAAACAGTAGCATCGGGTAACGGTGTACACTGTATTCATAACAGAAACTAATAAGTTAAAATATGAATACATATTAATGAATTATACATAAATACACATGAAAACATCATATTTAAATATATACGTTAAAAATAATGTATAAATATATAATATAATGTATAAATATATAATATAATGTATATATAATAGATATAATATGATAATGTGCCACAGGTGAATAGATCGAAAACTGGTAGTTCTTCAAGTTTTTTTTTATTTACACTGTAACTAATTTACCGCTGCAAACCTAATTTACCGGAATAGGGCGTACAATGTTTTTGGTTTGTTTGTGTTCTTTTGCTTTACTGAATTATTTAGAAGTATTTTTTTTTTATTTCTTTTTTTTGTTTTTCTTTCTCTTTTAATTTGTGAGCCCTTTTTTTGGTAAACAAATGTAGTTTTTTTCTCTCTTTCAAAAAATGTAAAGTAGCAGTAGAAGCTATATATGTCCCGCCGCTGGGCTAAGGCCTCGGGCCCACTGCGGAGAGGAAGACTCCACATATCTTCGAAATTTTTTTTGTTATTATTTCGAAATTATGCAGGATTCCTCACGACGTTTTCCTCCGCCGCTGAGCACGTGATAAAGTAACACTTAAAATTTACAACTTCATTGGTGCCGGCATGATGAACATCATATTTTTCCCCGTATAAAGTTTTTTAGTTTTTAATTATTGGGGATATTTCTTTGTTTTCTCGTGTGGTTGGATTTATAGATATTAGTTTTTAATTATTATTATTTTTTAATTTATCTTAGAGAAATATAAAAATGCAATTGTAAACAATCTAAATGAGTGCAACTTCGCGTGTGTTTTGACACAATTGTATGTACTTTGTTAATAAATAAATGTATATAAATATATTTATATAAATCTATAGTAATCAGAATAATAATTGTTCCTATATGTATTTAGTCGGTAAGCCTTGTTAAATAAATAAATAAAATAATAAAATATGAATGAATCAATGTTTTACGGATTAATCGCGTTTATTTATGGTCACCATGAACGCTGTAAAGGGTTCGAAGCGTCGGAAATTAAAAATAAAACAAATGCGAGAAATCCGTAAAAAAAATTGTTTCATTTGTAATGTGTAATCGCGTGAATACAAGAAATTATCATCATAAAACATGGCTCAAATGACTTTGGAAGACCAGGGTGTAACCTTCGCAGCGGACCGCACCCACCTGACGCAGACCATGTTGCCGAGGAGCCCGAAGCAGTTGCAGCCGGCCTGGCCGGGCTGCGTGGATCCTGTGCGCTTCTGGATCATGCCCTCCTTGCCCTTGGAGCCCAGCTCCGATATGAAGGAGACCGTCGACACCTCCAGGAACTTCACCTGCAACGGGAGCCCGCGATGTTTCGGAGCGCCGACGCTCGTACGTATTCCGAACAAAAGGAAACTCCGGGCCGAAAGCATTCAACAAAAATGCTTCGTACGCATAAGATTGGTTTAGGAACATGGGAAAATTGGGGAAAAAGAGGACGGTTGTGTCGAAATCACCACATTCGGAGAGCCGAAGGCGTAAGGGTGTTTCGCGGTAAAATTCGGTGCACTGAGGTTAACAGTTCTTTATTTTTTTTTGCAAGTTCACTGTCGCAGCCGTCCGAGTTGCCTCGAAGTGAGGGCCGGACTGAAAACCGGTGTCGGGATCAGAACTAATCACTGTATCTCGACTTTTACCGAGTCCTATCCGTTTCACGGTTATTTGCTGTTACACAGACCGTCACTTACTGTTGTTATTTTGTTTGCTTATTTTTATGTTTACATTTATTTTAAGTTTCTGCGTAGTTACATTATTATTTTTAAGTTTTGTATGTATTCATTTGTTTTTAGACCGTGAATAAACGTTTCTTCTTCTTCTTCTTATTTGCAACAAAGTACAATTTAAAACTCAGGATAGTTAAGTGGACACAGTAAAGAAGAAAAAGCATGTAAGTACAGTCAGTACCCGTATTTATTTAAAATTCAAAACGTATCGTTCGCGCGCCCAATCGCAGTTGCCATATAAAACGAAATATAAATACCAAATTACAAATTACGTTATAGTAATAAAAATATTAAAATAACAAACTAGATTGATATAAAATATAACATAAAACTTAACTGTATAAAATAAAACTGTACCGTCGCCTACAAAAGGCTTCATAATTATAAGACTGGTTTCGAATATAAGTAAATTCCGTATAAGAACCCAACTTTGGTTAAAATCACCACAAGATCTTTTTACTAGGTAGACGATGTTGTTCGTATCGAACTAATTCGCTCAACATTTAGTGACAAAGGAAAAAGGATTGATAATTTCGGATAAACCCTTGCATATCCTTTTAATTCTCATATCCCAATATCACACGCATACATTTCGGATACGTTTTGATTTTGTTTTTAAATATTGCCCTTACATTGGATGTTTTAAAAACCTATATTTCACAACAAACACCCAGATCCGAACAACTACGTGTCGCCCACAGAAAAGGTTGTCCCGTGGGGGAATCGAACCCACAGCCCACAGCGCCGAGGCTATTAACTTGACAACTGCGCCACGGAGTCATCTCTTTTGTATTCACGTTGTTTGCCTTTATGTATTAATTTGCTGAAAACCCAACTGCAAATTCTTCAACTTTAAGTGATTATTGCCCATATATTTTTGTGTCAATTTTATTTATTTGAACCGAATTACGTCCACGTATACTGGGAAATAAGTGCAAACGAGGAGAAATTATACGACCGTAATTATAGCCATGGCAACATTGATCATAGTCTGAGGCGGTTTACATATAAAACGATGATGACTCCGCTAGTCTACTCTCGTTTAAGGTAGTTTGGAGATGTGAAATTATTCAGTGTAATACGGCAGTGACAAACTTGCACCCGGGACGGCGATATACTCGTCACCTGTCACGCTTTTCGTGAATTCGAGCGGTAATTCGGGCTAGGAGATTACGTATTGATGACAAAAGCGCTTCCGATAGCGCAAAGTTAATCGATTGGAGGAAACATTGCTTCTCACCGTTTCGTGGTGGTTTCTGTATATCGATATGTTGAGCAAGTTGTAAAGGTACTCCTCAAGTTGTTTCATCCTCAGTTGTATGCCCTCGTATGTAATCATGACCTCGGGTTTCTTTGGGAATCTGAAAGCGATACACCTCCCTTTATAAAAGTTCATTGAAATTCAATTTTCAATTTCTAGTGCGCTTCTGCAATTAAAAGTGATAAAATTTGTGGAAAAAAAAAACAAAAGCTTTTGCCAATGCCGGAATCGAACCCGCGTCTTGCGGGTTCACAACGGGACGCTTAACCGCTAAGCTCAACGGCAGATTGCGATACTGACTATAAATTCGAATTTAATTTTTTATGTGAGAGGGCGGCAAGCGAGCCGGCGGTTCACCTGATGTTAAGTGATAGCCGCCGCCCATTGACATTTCTGGGAGGCCTGTGTCCAGCAGTGGACTCTAACAGTCTGAAATGATGATGATGAATGCATTGAAAATCTGTGTGTAGCACGACACCCGATAGATGGACATTTGCAACACCCTTAGGGTTACAAATGCGTTGCCACCTTTAAATAAAGTGGGCCCCGGCTACCTCACGCACCAGACGAAGCGCAGAAGTAACACTTCTACTTCACGCCGGTCTTCTGTGAGGTCGTGGTACTTACCCGGACGGACCTACCCATTTGTGCAACAGTGTTGCGTGGCCCTACCACTGTTACCTTGGCAACGCGCCTTTCCTCTTCCTAGGCCTGCCCTCCCGCCGCTTCGAATTGCTCCTGGGCACGGCCTCCAAAGCGATCTTCTCCGCCTTCTCCTCCGTGTTGAGCGTGTTTTTGAAACTCGCCCTTCGGGACTTGTGCGTTTTGGTAGGGAACGGTATGTTCAGCGACGCCCGGTACAGTGTCAGCTGTTGGTGAAGGTACAATATATGTTTGTATCTCTTTTTGATCGTCCATTTGAAGTCGCCGTGCTGCAGGAGTATAGTGTATCTGAAACGTGATCGAAGTGTGAGGCGTTAGAAGAGGACGCTCATAATTTCAAAGGCCGATGCGAATTATGCCCGGTTCCTATATTCAATGAACGGCCGTTAGTTACATAGCTTCGCAACTTTCATAACGACTCGTACGACCGGTTCCTATATTAGCAAAACGACGCGTTTTGCTTACGAGCCGTTGAATTACCTACGGGAAGTGAGTTAGTAGCGTTCCTTTAATCTACAAGTCGTTATGAATGTTACGAAGCTATGTAACTAACGGCCGTTCGTTGAATATAGGAACCGGACATTAGTCATCATCGAGTGCGTGTTTAGATTAACGGCCGGCCTCTATATTGAATCTGCAGATTGCAGTTATTGTTATTAGCGATAGGCAGTTGACATTAGCTCACACAATACTTATGTCAATATTCTATTTCCAGTAACCAATTCTATCTGTAGATTGAACATTGAAACCAGTCGTTAGTGTGTTTACTTAACCTATATTACGATAAAGCGTTTCGGCGATAATATTATTTGTTTTTTTTTAATATAGAAAAAGGAGGCAAACTAGCAAGCGGGTCACCTGACGGTAAATGATCACCGTCGCTTGGACAATTGCAATAGGCAGGACTAGGCTCTCTTCTCGATGGTCCCTAAATCATATCGGTCAGGAAATACCAATAATAATATATTATGTTGTAATACCATAAAATATGATGTAATTGCTTAAGGGTTGAAAGGCCTGCCTCTGCCGGCCTGGGTGGACTGACGACATTATAAGAGTCGTGGGCAACCGGTGGATGCAAATGGCAATGGCCTACGTTTAACAGTGGTCGTGTTGCGGCTAATGATGTATGTGTGTATGTATGTATTGCATAAGATATTTTTTCTTTCTCCTTTCCTCATCCCACCTAGGTTGGGTCGGCGTAACATTTGAATCATGTTATTTAAGGTATTGGCTAGGTAGATTGTTTACGACCACCTGCCCAACTTTAACCCCCCTTGGGAATAAACACCCGCATCCGGAAACTTATCTCTCATTCACGTATCACCCCCTTGCTCCAGCGCCGAAGCTTATAGCTTAGCAACTGCGCCATCGATGTATGAAAAATATATTTCTAAACTAAATGACTATGGACCAAGTTGTTCAGCGAACCGTAATAATTTCGAGAGTGTGGTCTGTTTGTCTAGCCAACCAGTTATCAGTTTAGACTCGGTAGTGATAATATTACTGTTATCCAATTGTATAGCTGTAGACAATTATTCAACAATTGTTTTTGAAATTAAATTACTTAACGGTTCGAGAAAAAGTTGAGCCCAATGTTATTAAAATAAAAATGTTATGTCTAGAGTTAATTAAGCTTGTGGGCTGTTACTAAATAGTAAATAAATATAGATAACTTCATGAATACCGATACATTTGCGTTCGATCTACAAAAACCATTAAACGGATACAAAGCAGGCGATTACGTTATTTATAATTGCATATGAATCATTCACAATGCAACAAACACAAAACACAAAACATCTCGGGCAAATTAACGATTAATGTACCGTTAATGTAAGATTATTTATAACATTAACGCAAAATAAATAAACACAAACATTTTTTTTTATCTAAAATGCAATTGCAAATAATTTGGTCGATGAGGTTCGTGTTATTATATTATATTTATTAATTTTTCTTGGGGAAACAATTGTAATTTCATTTGCCAAAAACAGTTTATTGTTTACTTTTCGAATATTGTAAATAAAATTAAGTCTTCTTTAGTCATTCGTATACACCGTTTAAGAGACTTCGTTGCACAAACAAGCTCATTTCGAATAGTTCTAAGCTAAGGTCTCGCATAATTCCGTGAATTAGAAGTATTATAGTTTACGTTTCACCGGCGAAGTGAAGTAATAAGAACACTGTTTTGAAGATTGGCGATGCGTCCGCAATCTCGCGTGTGTTCGGGTTAAGAGATGTCAGGGTAGTGGCAACAACATAAGGGGAACCGTTTGCTCGTTTGCCGGAGTCACAATTAACACTTATCAATTAAGAAGTAAATTTTTTTATTAACGAAAAACAAAACTGACTTCAAATATCTCGCTCTGTATTCATTTTATAATTGATTTTCAATAGTTCCCTACGTATCTCCGGAGCCCAAGATCCAATACCTCCTTTTCGAAGTCAGTTAAAAGGTATATAAATAATGGCGTGAGCCACTGCACATAATACTACCCACGGGGGACAACCTCTCGTTTCAATCTTCTAATTCTTTTTTTTTTTTTTTAATTTTTGTAATCTTAGTTTCATGCAGCCTATATTAAGACACTCACAGATTCGGATTGAGCAGATGAGTGGTGACGCTCCTCTCGTTCTCGACGAATCTGACCTTTATCTCGACGGCCGGTATGAACACTTTCCTGTGCACCGAGTTGAACTTTATCGGTGGGTTGTGTATGGCCTTGAAAGGTACGCTTGCTTGCGGTGCTGCAATTAAAAAAAAAAACTCTCATTTGTACTCCGAATTGGTTTTCTTCAGAGAGCGCGCTTAAGACGTGGCTACTTGAAGAAGAGTATTTATTATTCAGACAGTATCAACAATGCATAAGGGACAGCAACCTTTCACGTCGTATAACCAGAGCAGGGTGTAAAGAGATAGATAGATCTTTCCATCATTCATCAGTCTGATATATGTCCCAAAGATTAAGAATGGCACTGTAGAGGCAAAAATAATAAACAGTGATTTTGTCGTGTGTCGTTGTTCACTAGGTTCCGAACTCACGAACATCTTTCGTCTAATCCACTAAGCCGCGATGGCTTCAAACTAGTATGGCATTAAGGAACGTTAATTAAATAAAGTTATTTATAATTACAAAAGAGCCATAATAGATCAGGTTCTTTAATTAAATATACTTGAGCGACCTGAGTTGATAACCTTGCTTTTAATCAAAATCGTTGTAAGGCCTTGCTTTTGATCAAAATTGCCAATTCTAGGTCTACCGGAACTACCCTATAGGTTTTGTATATACCAATTGTATTATGGCGGTATAATGGGTAGGTACGGAACCCTCGCCGTACGAGTTCGACACGCACTTACTTTGCACGTACTTTTACGTTACTTTGCAAGTACTCTGTTGCGGGCTGGCTTTATATCAGGTTCGGATGACATATAACATTAAATGAGCATTACTATATTCTAGTTTAAAGTTAACAATGTAATTTTAAGATGGAAGAAGACACAGTCTGTGTTAAAATAAATTAAACCCGTGTGAATTTTCGATATTGTTCACTGTTAGCACAAAACCCGTGCCGAGCATGGGCTCTCGTTCAGTGTTGGCCCAGTTAAACTATAAACCGTGAAACAATCGAAATTAGGCCGCGAACTCGGCATGATCCAACTGTACGCTACTGGCTGACTGAACTCTATTTATATTTTTGTTAATTCTAAAACTGTTGCCGGAATTTTTATCGTAAACTAGTCGCATTGCGTAACACGAAATATATTCTTAGGGTTTATAAATTTAGTTTTATTTGTAGTGTTACTACACTGAAATCAGTTGTGTTACGGTGATGCGGAGTTAAAATATAATAATAAACAACTCATTTTTTGTAAAGTATTCATATTTATTCACTTTGAAATTTGTCATGTTTTTCTTTATATATATATAATTCTTCTTTTCATGTGAATGTCACTGAACTCCTCCTAAATGGCTGGACCAATTTTAATGAAATTTCTTGTTGTGTCTTCAGGTGGACTCGAGAATTGTTTAGATTTACAAACGTATTTAAAAAGTTTGGAGTTTTAGGATTTAAGACGTGTGTGCAGGACAAAGTCTGTCAGGTCCGCTAGTTTTTAATAGATTTGAAATTGTTAAAGAGATTATAATACATACTGTATAACGTCATGCACACAGGTAGTAGAGATTACCAAATTAATCTTTAAAATAATCATCTATTTTTTTTGTCATATACTTGATATGACAAAAAAAATAGATGATTATTTTAAAGATTAATAAAAATATAGTTTTAAAAAAAAATGGTTTTTCGACCTTTTTGACGTATGTCCATATGGGATGTTATTTAATGATAGCGTAGCTTTTAGTGACGCGGATTTGTTTCATGGCATTTTCTGATAACCTTTATAGCGCGTCACAGATCGCCCACGTAAACCCCAGCTGTTGACACGTCTATAATGGACGTTATTCCGTTGCTCTGATTGTTAAGCGCATTACACAGTTTACTCAACCATTTAAAATGTTAAACAAATTGCACAAAAACATATTTTTTAACCGTGAAATCGAAAAAGGTCGTGGGTTCGAAATCCATCATTAAGTCTCCGACCCCTATACCGCTTAGCCATCTGCCACTTCATTACATAAACTAGATTTTACAGTGAACACCGACATCGTTCAAGGGATAAAGGCACTAAAATTATTTGCTGCACTTGTTACGTATTTCTTCTTTGTTTTACACCTAGGTGATTTTTTTCTTTTATCTCTGCATCGTTTCCGGTTGACTGGTAGAGAATGCATCAGTCATCAAGTCCGTCAATAGATAAGATTTGTTTAAAAATTTCATAAAATAAAAAAGCGGCCAAGTGCGAGTCGGACTCGCGCACGAAGGGTTCCGGTCTGTTGTACGGGAACCCCACTTAAATATTTTTTTATTGTTTTTTTAGTATTTGTTGTTATAGCGGCAACAGAAACACATGATCTGTGAAAATTTATTTAACAACTACATTACTATCACGGTTCATGTAATACAGCCTGGTGAGAGACGGACAGACAGACAGACAGCGGTGTCCTAGTAATAGTGTCCCGCTTTATACCCTTTGGGTACGGAAGCCTAAAAATGTATGAAGCATTAAGGGCTTGGTAGTGAGTTCACCTGTTGTAGGTCCGAATTGTCACGTGTTACTGTCGTAACCCTGATCGGGGAAGTATGTGGACTGTTTCCGGCTGTTTCGGTGACCGTACCCGGCCTAACAGTTAGCCATCATCATACCCCTGCATTTATCCCACCTATGGGGGTATAACATGAATCACGTTGTAAGTGGTTATGGTTAGTTTTTTTTTTTTACAACCGGCTGCCTGACATACCTTAACCCTCCTCGGGAAGAAACACCCAAATCCGGAACAATTATGTGGGTAACTTAAGTACTTGTCCCGTGTGGGAATCAAACCCACGACGGGATCGCCACCGAGTTATACGGTCTAAAAAATTTTATTATTAATTGTATATTTATATTCTGCATTTGAAATGGTTTCGATGTTCAATATAATAGAAGGAACTTCAGTAAACAGATACTTTTTGCGCTGCAAAATAAAGAAGGCCATATTGTTTATATAACAAGGTTGTTATAAAAGATTTGCAGGCGACAACGTCAGAATACCGAATATATTTCAATGTACAATCGCTTCTCCAGGAAAAAGAGAAAACTTTATTCAATTTGTTATCTTCGAGATAATTCATGAAGATAAGTGACGCGTTAGATACAAGGTATGATTGTAAACAAATATATAATCCAATGCTTTGGGTAAGATTAGCAGAGATTAACATTAAAAACTAGTAATATAATATTTAAATTTCAATAGCAAAGACGACATCTCCCGTTCGAATTATTATCTAAAGTGCAGAGTTAGCCTTAGAAGAATTTAATATAAAATTTTATGCACTTCGTGTGTATAACACACTTTAAAAAGCCATCTACTTTGTGTACTTAGTTACCAAAGAAGGAAAGAAGTTCTTGCGCATAACGGAGACATGACGAATATAGACATAACAGTATGCTTCCACTTATCATCAGTTTACATTTTCCATGTTCATAGCGGAATTGTTATTAGTAGTTCATTATATATTTTTAAATATTTATTAAATTAGTTTCATTTAATATGTATGATATTTGCGATAAATCAAGAAATCAACCTGTGAACTAGCAGTCTGTTTAACGATTTACGAATCTGTTTAGTCTGTGTTTTTTAGTGTATCCCTTTTTGAATTTTTTTTCGAAGCGGATGCACCTCTGTTCACAGTACGGAACGTTGAGTAATTCAACTTAACGGCATAATCCGAGTTAACAGTAAAGATCCCAATTATCAGATTACAGTCTAAATTAAATGGCGGTGAGGTGCATTTTACACACATTGCGGCGAGACGCATTACATTTTAAATTAAGAAACATTTTAGCTAAACACAATGTTGCCAGACTGTATCTATCAATGTCACTGAAATGAAAAACACTGACCGGAAAGGAAACATTACAATAGGGCTAAAATAAAAACAATGGCAACCATCGCAATTTTCTTTATGTTAAGTTTAATTAAGACTTAACAACATTTTTACCAAATTTTAATTGCCACCTAAACACACAACTGTATACCTATGTATCAATTAGGTGAACTCCTACTAGTGAAATTTACATCGTTATGTAATGTGTTTTTAATGCAATAAAAATAGTAACACACTTATTTTCTATAATATATATATATATATATCATAAAGATTTTTCGACTATTACCAATACGGGCAGATTTCCTCGTAAAGCTTTCCACCGCCAAACTAGACTGTGTAAATCAAACGATAATTATAATAGGATTTTAATATAACCCATAGTCCGTCTTTAAGTGATCATGTAATATCAGAACTTTTAGATCAGCTAAGGTCTTGTGTACACAATATGAGAGGATGGTTCGTATTTATACCAAGAAACGGCGCCATCTACCGCAAGGAGGACGCTTTCCGGTTATTTGTATTGTATAGTGCATAACATTGGCTGTAATGTATTGTAATGCAAATGTCGTGTATTTATAACGATACAGTGACCCACATGAATCATCACGGCGACATCTTATCAGCGATTTGTCGATCAAAAAGATCTGACGGCTTTGATCGCGTGTGTAAACTGAAGTTACATGATGGATGGCCCTTTACCAAGAAGCGAGGAAATAAATAAAAAGATATAAAATTTATGATCAATTTTAAATTTAATTATATGAACCTCTTACGTTCACTATGTCAATAACACTTGTATTTTATATGCTAAGTACTGGACACTGTTACAGACTGCAGAATGCTCTCCCTCACTAATTTTGCCTATTCTCATTATTTTTAGTTTGGAATGTTATGGTGGTGTTTGACTATACACTTTACAGATTGTACTCGAACTTTAAAAATAAAATAGATAATGGTATTAATATAATGATTCATGAATGATATCATGATATTATCGGACTACTTAATGACTAAAGGCCCATTTACATGGTGCAAGTTTCTTGCCTGTTGTATTGAATTTTTTTGTTTAAATTGAAGCAATAAATGAGTTGCATGGTCTAAACAACACATAACATTCTTGACTGTTGAACAAGACTTGCTTCAAGTTTTGATTTAAAACTTTTCTTCGTGTAAACAGCACACACAATAATTTCTTAAGCAATTCTTGTATTCAATTGCATTCATTCTTCCTTTGCAAACATGAGTGCGATGACTGAGGGTGTTTAATCGTTGCTGTTCTTTTGAGGCAAGAAATATTGAGAAAGGTCTTAAAAAAAGTTGGATAATAATATATGGATAATAATAATAAATAGATGTCAATGAAATATATTAAATCGGTACAATCTAACTTTAACACTTATTATTGACCCATTTTTTTAAAAATAAACAGCCCTTCTTAAAACGTTCAACACTTGAAAAAATTTGTCAACGCAATACTTGAAGCAACACGCCAATAAATTGTACACGCACATACAAGCATGTGTTTAGACATGTCAACACTTGAAAGCAATAATCGCCTAAACATAATTGTATTGGTGTAAACTGTAAACAAAAGACATTTGCAATTATTTCTTGTCAAGACTTGAAATTAATATGCACTAAAGCATAATTTTCAACAACGCTACGGCTGTTCCAAACGTCCACGGGCGGCGGTTATCACTTAGCATCAGGTGAACCGCCCGTTCGCTTGCCGTCAGAATATAAATCAAAATCAAATACCTTTATTCGATATAGAAGCATTACACTTTCTTATTGATTGTCAAAACGCTACCACCGGCTCGGAAAGAAATGCCACTGACCTGAGAAGAACCGGCGAAAGAAACTCAGCGGGACTTTTTTTTTTTTACCATTGCTTATCAAATAAAGAAATGTTTACAAATGTATTAAAATCAACTTGAAAGAGCCTGGAGCGATCACTGCATATCCATCGTGTGTTATCATTTAAATAATCACAAAAACGTTCCTTTACAATATTTATTAAAAAGAAGCAATGTAAGCGGACTCACCGCTGGCGTCCGTCTCCTCCCGGTTGCCGGTTTTGTCCGCGTCTATCACGGACAGGGACTCGGGCACGGCGAGGCTCTCGTCGAAGTCGGAGTCGACGCAGGTCGCCAGCGAGTCCAGCTGCTGGAATATGCCCGGGATGCAGTCGCCCGGCGTGGTGGGCGTTGGCGTCTCCATTGCGTAGTTCGTGTAGCTGTACTGCTCCTCATCTGGAAGCGGTGCCGTTGAGTACATCCGAAGGCGGTGGTGCTGACGGCTGGTTTGCCACCGCCTTTCGTGAACCGAATAACGCCGACCCCCCCTTTTTTATGTGAAAAATTGGCGTTCCACCTGATGTTAAGTGAATACCGCCGCCCATGGACATCTAATACACCCGAGGGTTGCAGATGCGTTGGCGACCTTTTGAAAATTGGGCTTCGGCTACCTAACCCACCAAACGAAACGCGAAAGTGTTATACTTCCACTTGACTCTTCTGTGAGGTCGTGGTAATTAGCCGGACGAGGATGCCCATTCCTCCAACAGCCAAAGCTGTCGCGTGACCCTACCACGGTACCCTTATGTTATTAGCGCAGTATCCTGTACAACGGGTGAAGACTTTACCGTTGTAGGGCCACAGCAACTTTTGGTACTGCAGGGTTATGCAGACTCGTCCGGAAACTACCGCGACACACTCATAGAGTCGCATTTTTAAACTTGGTAACGCATCTGCAATCCCTGGGGTGTTGTAATTGTCAATAGGTGGTAATCGCTTAACATCAGGTGAACCGATGCTCTGTTCACACCCAAAATAAAGTACAACATATACATAAACATCTTACTGCTGGAAGCCCTTAATTATCATGGGAATAAGTTCGCCAAACCAATGTGTTACGTATTGACAGAAAACCTGTTAAAGACTGCATATGTACCAACTAAATACATAGATTCATAGACCAGACCTTTAAAAATAAATACAAGTATGATTTTGACGTTGTCAGTTAGTCTTGGCCAAAGATTAATTAAAACGCACCTCTAAACATTGTAACAAGTTGTGATTTGATAAAGAAGTTATGACATTGAATTTGACTTTTAAACTATGAAGTAACTACTAATAAACATAAAACTAATAATTGAAATGTGAATTTTTGCCAAGTTTTAATGAGCTTGTCACAGTACAACAAACCAGTGGATGAAGCACACTTTCGCCTGGTTTCTGAAACACTGTTCATCGTAAAAGTTAACTAATCAGTTGTCAAATGGATCATTAAGAAGATCTTTCTGATCAATTCAGAGAGTTTAACCATCCTTTTGACAAATCAAATGACATTTGAAAAGCCATTTGACAGCTATGATGATAATAGCTTCAGAAACTAGGCATTAGATTCACATCCAAATAATATTTTCACGGTCTATAAAAATAAACTTAATAAAAAACTAACATTGTGTATCAATAGAATAACAATAAATTACAGACATATGGTCTTGTTGGAAAAGCAAATATTAGAAGTTTTTGAGAATTTTCAATTTTAAAGTATATAGGATTTAACTTTCCTATTAGACAATTTCAGTTTAACATAAATTTTTGATAGTCATCATAACATCAGCTAATATAATATTAGTGAATCTGCTTACTACGCATTTCCTGAATTTTTCAATATTTCTAATTGAATTATGTCAACTTTTTGAGTAAGTTTTCTTGGGTTTTTATAATAACAAGATAGCTTACATGAAGTGGAGAAGGTGGAACAGCAGCTGGTTCACCTGATGTGAATTTATTACCACTGTCCATTGACATCTACACCACTTATGCTGTTCCAGATCTATTCCAGTACTTTAAAAGTGTTCGGGGTTATCTTAATCACCATACAATCCAGTTCAACTTCACGCAGGTCCAATATAAGGCACTGGTATTTCCTCTCATACTCACCCATTTCAGCATATAGTAATTTTGGACATTTCCTGAGTTGATTGAACAATACTGAACATTTTAAATAATTTATATCTACATTAACTCGGACATAGGTAGGATATAATTAAATATAATAAATGCGATATTTTCATTAGAAATCACAATGATTTGCGTATCAAATATGATAAATAGCTGACCAATTTGATATGCATTTCTGTTTGCTATCAAAATAGCTTGGATTCGTGGTATGCGGAGTAGTGTCTTACTCTGTTAATTAAATAAGATTTTTAATAAGGAAGAAAAAGCCAGATGCATTAGATATGACACAATATGTTACAATATTATGCTAAGCAACCAAGAAATTCAATGTGAGACTGGTTATAACACATTTCATTTTATGGTGTATTTTATGACTCAACAAAGTTGTATGTAAGTTAATTACAGCCATCTGGGCTAATAGAATTCATATGACTATTAAATCCAATCAAAGATATTTAAGGGCTAGTACATGTATTTATTATTAGCGTAGGCTGCTCTGCAGCAGACTGAATATTTATGTAGTCATACTAGTTACTTTATGAAAGTATGTAAATAACGGTCACATTTTTAAGAGTAATTCATAACAAACAAAGCATAATAATTTTTATTGGCCTAAAAACATTTTTCTAATACGTCTTAAACTTATTTTTATTTATTTGATAGAATAGTAATACTTTCAAGTAAAAACCAATTCATTATCGTACATTTCGACTTATTTTAATTGCTTTAAATAAATTATAACTATAACAAACTGATTAAGTTCTAACCAATACTTAAATGTTTTAAAAATCTTAATATTATTAAAATTAAATACCATTTTCTTTATATGTTTCTTTGCAGTTTTCAATAGCAGTTAAACAAATAGAATTATAAATTATTTCTAGCAAGTAAGATGTACCTGCTCAATAAAACAATGAGTATAAATGAACTATGATAATCTTAATATATGTTGTATTCAATACAAGTATTGTAATATAACTCAATCCCATTTGTTGTAGAAGTTTTGTTAGAGTCAATAAAATTCATAATACTTCTCTACTAGTTAGGTTACACTTTGTAAGATTTCTAATTGTTTTTCACCTGTAAAAGTTTTATACCTTTAGATGAATATATTTGAATAATATACATTATAATAAAGTCATGTTTAAACATGTATTCTATGTAAATAATCTATATACATATAAATTAACCAAAACACATAAATAAACAAGCACAGGTTGAACACACACCTCTCTTAATAAGGTTATGGCAACTTAATGTCAATTCATTTCGTTCCATTATTTTACACAAACTGAGAACAACACTATTAATTTCACAGTTACATTGATACTGGCTGGTAATGTTCTATCCATTACACGCTATGAATTTACCACTTGCGTACACAATCTTTTCATGATAAGATAATGGAAACTATTGCGGTTGTTTTCATTTATTTTTCGTCACTCACGGTAGCGATTCGACAATAATAAATTAAAAATGAAATCGACCATGCTCTTGGGAAGTTTTATCGAGGATGACATACAATGGTCCAATGAACAAAGCTGTGTTCCAAGGTTGCTGATTGAGAGAAATTAATGATTACAAATGATTACTTACAAAAGTTTTTCCACGTATTTCAAGAAGAAACAGTCATCAGGTCGTACTTTTAAACGGGACTACAGTGTAAGGCACAGTAAATGGAGTCTAAAAACCGGATCACTGTTTGAATCATGAAGTTAAATATTAATTCAAGGATATTTCAAGTAGAAAAACTATTTCGACCGACAACGGCCTTATCTTATTGCATGAAGTGACGTAATGAAAATAGTTGTAGAACTTTAAGCAGTGGTTAGAAACCTTTTGATACGTCATTGCCATGACATGCTCACTTACGGCTCATTTGTATTTTAAATATATTTTTTTAAAAAGTCCATCTTATGATCGTTTTGATTTAAATATACAACTATCGAACTAAGAATTAAAAACATTAAATTATGTGTTTAAATGTGTTAAGAAACCATTCCTGATACCGCACCAGCTGCATGGAATTGATTGACATTTCCACACACAATGATTATTTTAATTTCCTTATCAGTTATTATCGGTGAAAGCTACATAACTTACCTATGAAGCCTCTTATAATAACAATGATTATTTACGTACTAATTTTTTTAATGTGAAAAGTTGTCAAGCGAGCAGACGGTGCACCTGATATTACGTGAATACCACATGGACTCACATGGACTCACATGGAACGATGAATACCCATGGGCATCTGCTACATCCGAGGGTTGCAGATGCGTTGACAACCTTTTGAAAATGGGGCTCCGGTCACCTCACTCACCAGATGAAACCCGAAAGTATTATACTTCCACTTTACGCCGGTCTTCTGTGAGGTCGTGGTACTTACCCGGACGAACCTGCCCATTCGTGCAATAGACGCCGTTGCTTGGCCGCACCATAAAATGACTTAATATAATAAAAATCCAACTATATCCAAATTATATTTAAGTTTTACTCAAAATAAACATTTTTATTATTAAGAGTGCGTCACTTATAATCTTATCAAACAAGCAATATCGGACTACATTAATGAAAACTAGCATTTTTGTGGGTGAGTGAATTAAGTACTTAGTACACTTTAATCATTCCTACTTCAGATAATAAGTTAACGGAAAATACTTAGAACCTCTGACTCTTATCTGTCATAAGTGTCAAAAAATGTAATTTTTTGTTATCGTTCAGAAGTAACAAAGAATATGATATATGCATATAAATTATTTTCAATACAATTGAATCATTTTGGTAATTAACGGTAAAACACTCAAAGCTTATTTAACTATTTTAAAACATTCTAAGGAACGCCTGAATAGATTTAATGTCATATTGTAGCGAGACGAGAATTCATCGCCGCATTTTTTCTCAGGCGTTATATTTCGTATCGTATTTTTCAAAAATTTTAACACAATTAGACAAAACAATTTGAAAAAACGTATAGCTACATTTATGTTACCAAAAGTAATATGATAAGATCTGGTAGAGATCTTTTGTCTTAAACTTAAAATGGACGAAAAATACTTCTCCATTGTTCGTCTTATACACAGGCGTAAATACAAAACTTAGATCACAAACGTAAATCACTTTCAAAGTAAAAAGCAATCAATTCGTCGTAAATTATTCATTCGAAACCAAATCTCTGTAAATTTAGGTTTAAATTAAATAAAGTTTAAGTATTCCAGATGTATTTAGCATTTAACTCCAGAAGTATTTACTTTTATTTATCAATTTATAAAACTTTAATTATCAATTTTAACTTTTTTAGACAGA